GTGCACCACCTTTTAAGGGGAGGAAAAAGAGGGGACCGGGCTTAGGGCACTCAGCACACACTGATTGGTGGTTTCACATAAGGCACATGATTAGGAACCTAGGGACTTAGGAACCAGGGGCTTAGGGTATTTGGCAGGAGCTGATTGGTGGTTCAGTGCTCAGGAATGTCCGGCTGCAGGTGGAATTTACATCCGTCCGTCAATTGGAGGAAGGGAGGATCTATCAGTGATAATTTAGGTAACCATCTATTTAAATTTTTTTTTATTTTTATTAATCCTCCCCTAAGGATATTTCCCCAATGATTTTTAGAGAGAGTGGAAGGGAGGAGAGACAGAGAGAAACAACAATGTGAGAAACACATCGATTTGTTGCCTCCCACATGTCCCCGACCAGGGCCGGGAGCCTACAACAGAGGCACGTGCCCTTCACCGGAATCGAACCCAGGACCCTTCAGTCTGCAGGGCAATGCTCTATCCACTGGGCCAAACCGGCTGGGGCTAGGTCACCACATACAGCAATAACTTTTACAAAATAAATATAAATTATATTGGTATTTATATATTCTATGCTTGAGAATGAAAAACTCAAAATACCTTTGTTGAGATAAACTTTTCTGCCATCGTAATTCATTTGTCATTAACTTCCGTATATAATACAATTTCTAATTCACTTTATATAAGAGTAACTAGAGTGTTTTTATCTGTATACTTTTAATATTTTTTGTTTTTTTTCTACTTATGAGATTCTCTTAGTGTGGATAATAAACCATAATAATCCCTTTGGAAAACACTTGATTTTGTTTCCACCTTTCAAATACTTTTACAATATTTCTAAGGGCATTTGGTAGATATTTCTATCCTATTTTAGATGAACCCTAAAGAAAAATAAAGCAATCTTATCAAATTTCCAAAGGTCTCATTTAAACCTTCAATAAATTTTAAGGCAATATCCATGAGATAATATCCATCATGAAATACATATTTCTTTCAAATCTGTACATGTGGAACATTTCTGAACAGTAAGAATAAGATAAAGGCAGTTTTAAGCATTGGTTATAGTCTTTCCATGTTCATTATATTTTACTTAATATTTGTAATGTTTGAAAATCATTACTCATAAAGTTTATAAGATTTCATTCCAAACTTAATATCATGATGATCCCTGAAGTATTGAGATTTGGATAAGAACTTTGTCATGCATAATATATATTTAAGATTTTTTAAAATGTATATTTACTGACGTTTGGTAATGCTTGATTTTGGTAAAATACATTGCCTAATTCATTGTACTAATATTTTAAGACACCTTCCCCAACTAGGAGTTTCTCATGCTTAGTGAAGATTAATCCTTCCTAAAGACCTTCCAAATTCATTATATTTTAATCCCCCCTAATATTGTAAGGTTTCTAGTTTGCTATAAAATTATAAATATTTCTAAATTACCCATTTAAATCCATCACTTCCCTTTTCTTCTGAATATATGAGTACATACATACACAAACTTCTTCCTCATTATTCCTCTTACTCCTAAGTTACGGTATTTTTCGGACCATAAGACACACTTTTTTTCCCCCAGAAGTGGGGGGGAAAAGTCCCTGCGTCTTATGGTCCAAATATAGCCTACACATATACTTTAAAAAAAAAGTTTTTTTACTTGCCCGGCTCTGTGTGGTCTCTGTGTGCTTGCCCGGCTCTAAAATGGTTCTAAATGCTGCTGTTTACTTTACAGGGTTGATTACATGTGTTTATGACTGTGATGTTGGGTTTTACTGAACATAAAATATTTTAGGACACTATTTGTTTCAGAATCTTTTTTTCTTCATTTCCCTTCTCTAAAAACTGGTGCGTCTTATGGTCCGGAGCGTCTCATGGTCCGAAAAATACGGTATGTTTTTATATTACTGTATTTACATACTGCATTCATTGCAGAACGAAACCAAATATATCTATTTGTTATATAGACTCAGAAAAAGGACATATGATATATATATACATATGTATATTATATGTCCAAGAGATGGCTTGTAGTTGGTAGTTGGACATCTTTAGAGCTGCCATAGAAACAGGAGAGGCTCCCGCCACCATCATTGCGCTCTCCAGTTGTGAGCCTGGCTTCTGGGCTTCTGGCTGAGCAGTGCTCACCTTTGGGAGCACACTGACCACCAGAGGGCAACTTCCTGCGTTGAGTGTCTTCCCCCTGGTGGTCATTGTGAGTCATAGCAACCGGTTGTTCCACCATTCATCGATTTACCTATTACCCTTTTATTATATATGATAAAATGTAATGAACATGCAGAAATTCAAAAATAAGGATTCTAATCATACTTCTTTAGGTTTTGTAAAATTAACATTTGTAAGGAAAGCCACTGGTACTGGATGGTGCCCAGCTGTTACTCAAAAGACCACAGGAAATTTGGAAATAAAAGTTTGTAACTTATAAGCATAGAAGAAGTACACAGCATGCCTGCAGGGGCTAACACAGTCAGGACAAAACAAAATGCAGGAAGAGAGTGGCAGTACACAAAAGTGTAGGCTTGAATTAGGATCACTATGTGGAGTGCGTGGGGCTCTCGAACTAGGTCCAGATTGTTCAACTCAAAGTAAAATCAGCAAGGTTTGGCTAGCTCTTCAGAAATCTTACATAAGGGCATATAAATTGAAGGCCCTGAGGTGCACAAAGGACTATTGTTCACAAGAACTAATGTTCACTGTAAGCTGGTGTCTGTGTGTAGTAGGGATTCATGGGAGTTCAGTTCTTAACTATACAAAATAAATGATAATGCTGAAACACCACAGACCTTTACATAAGCCCACAACAATACTCCCACTAGATATTTTTTGTAACCATCATAATGTCCCAGCAGGCACAATGAATAAAAAGATACATTATGGGTAAACTCTTTATACATTATTTAAGGTTTAAGGCCTGTGAGTAAATGATGACACTCCATTGCATTACAAATTGCATATTTTAACATATTTCAACTACTTCACCTTTATTAATGAACACATAGTCCACACATAGTCTAAATAAAGTATTGCTCACTGTATTGCCTTAAGTTGAAACATACATTATAAGCATTCAAAAAATAACGAAATGAATTAAGATATAAATCAAATTAATACTTTTGTTTCAAAAAGCCACAAATAACTGTTTGTAATACAAAAGGATTCCGTGGAGACAATTACATTTGTCCTAATATTCATTCCCTTGGTATTTTGATTTATACTAAAAAATCATGTAACTTTCCTTACTAGATTCTCTAAAATAGTATTCTGATTTAAAGTCATATTTGAAGTGTTACTGACTTACTACTTTCTACTATGAATTCTCTGATATTATACATTTAATTTTATTAAAGTCACTTTCAAGCACAAATTCTATTTCCTGAAATACATATTTTGAGAAAATAATTTTTATCATTTATTACAAAGGTAGAAATTCTCGCCCTAAACGGACTGGCTCAGTGGATAGTGTGTCAGCCTGCAGACTCAAGGATCCCAGGTTTGGTTCCAGTCAAGTGCATGTGCCTTGGTTGCAGGGACATCCCCAGTAGGGGGTGTGCAGGAGGCATTTGGTTGATGTTTCTCTCTCTCATCAATGTTTCTGATTCTCTATCCCTCTCCCTTCCTCTCTGTAAAAAATCAATAAAATATATATATTTTTTAAAAGTAGAATTTCTCATAAGTATGCATTCTCTGATATGCAGAAAGATTGTAGGTCCAGGTACAGGGTTTGCACATTCTTCAACATTTTTAAGTTTTCTCCAGTAAAAATACTTATGTGGCAGTTAAGATGTACCAGTAAATGCTGAAAACAATCTTTGCTGAACTTCTTATATTTGCATGGTTTCTCTTCACTATAAATTCTCTAAAGCAGCGGTCACCAACTGATGGTCCACAAATCACTGGTGGGCCATGAGGTCTGAAAGGTTGGCGAAAGTAGATTGAGGCTTGAGCAATGGTCAAAGTTTGCCACATTGTTTATATTTGTGTTCTTTCAGTAAAGCATAAATTATGTGATATTGATTAAGGTTTCAACACTGGGTAAAGGATTTATAAAATTCTTTGCATTGTAAGGCTTCTCTCTGGTATATTTAGTGAGGTTTGGGCAATGGTTCGAACTTTTTCCATATCTTTATATTTATACTGGAGGACTGATGCACAGAATTTGTGCATTGGAGTAGGGGTGAGGGTCCCAAAGCCCGACTGGTGCCCTCTTGCAGTCTGGGACCTTTCAGGAGATATCTGCCTGCTGGCTTACGCCCACTCTCCAACAGCTGGAAATCCCTCTCGCAGTCCGAGACTCCTCACTGCTTACCGCCTGCCTGCTCGCTGCTCTTTACTGCTTGGCTCACTGCTCCTTAGCGCTGCTTCGGAGGCTGGAGAGTCTCCCACCACCACCACTGTGCTCACTCGATAGCCATGAGCCCCCCTGTGGGAACGTACTGACCACCAGGGGGAAACTCCTGTGTTGTGCGTCTACCCCCTGGTGGTCAGTGAGCATCATAGCAGCCAGTTATTCTGGTTGTTCTGCCATAAAGGTCGCTCAGGCTTTTATTATATAGAGTGCTTCTATTCACCATGAACTTCCCAATATTGAGTATAGCTATAGCTTCACATTTGTAAAGCTTCTCTCAGGTATGCATTCTCACATGTTTGGTAAGATGTGAGTGGTGAATAAAGGCTTTGCCACATTCTGTGTTTGCAAGACTTCTCTCTAGTTGAGTGCTCTGATGCTATAAAGGTTTGAACATGATGTGAAAACATTGTGACATCTCCATATTTATAAGGGTTTCTATCCTGTGTGAATTCTCTGATGTTTGAAAAAGGCTGAATACCAGCTAAAGACTTTGTCACATTCTGTACATTTATAAGGTTTCTCTCCAGAATGAATATTCTGATGCTGAGTAAGATGTGAGCCCCGGGTAAAGGCTTTGCCACATTCTCTACATTTATAGGGCTTCTCTCCAGAATGAATTTTCTGATGTTTAGCAAGTTGTGAGCCCTCGATAAAGGCTTTGCCACATTCTCTACATGTATAAGGCTTCTCTCCAGAATGAATTCTCTGATGTTGAATGAGATTTGAGCTACGGATAAAGGTTTTGCCACATTCTCTACATTCATAAGGCTTCTCTCCAGTATGAATTCTCTGATGTTTGGAAAAGGCTGAATACCAGCTAAAGGCTTTGCCACATTCTCCACATTTATATGGCTTTTCTCCAGAATGAATATTCTGATGTTGAGTAAGATGTGAGCCCCGGGTAAAGGCTTTGCCACATTCTCCACATTTATAGGGCTTCTCTCCAGAGTGAATTTTCTGATGTTTAGCAAGTTGTGAGCCCTGGGTAAAGGCTTTGCCGCATTCTCTGCATGTATAGGGCTTTTCTCCAGAATGAATCCTCTGATGTTGAGTAAGATTTGAGCTCCGGATAAAGGTTTTGCCACATTCTCTACATTTATAAGGCTTTAGTCCAGTATGAATTCTCTGATGATGGCTAAGGTTTGAACAGTGGCTAAAAGCTTTGCCACATTCAGTACATTTATAAGGCTTCTCTCCAGAATGAATTATCTGATGTCGAGTAAGATGTGAGCTCTGGATAAACGTTTTGCCACATTCTCTGCATTTATAAGGCTTCTCTCCAGAATGAATGATCTGATGCCGAGTAAGATGTGAGCTCTGGATAAAAGCTTTGCCACATTCTCTACATTTATAAGGTTTCTCTCCAGTATGAATTCTCTGATGTAAAATAACATTTGCCTGCCACCTAAAGGCTTTATCACATTCTTTGCATTTGTAAGGCTTCTCTGCAATATGGATTTCCTTATGTATATTTAACTTAGAGGACTGACTAAACACTTTCATGTAGTGATTACATGGAAAAGACTCCTCCTCAATATGAGTATTTTTATGTTCAGTAATATTTGATGATTGGTTGACAGACTTGGCACATTCACTAAATCTTTTTGCCTTCTCTACAGCATGAATACTCTGAGGTATAAAAACATTTGAGTGTTTTTCAAAGACTTTAGGACATTTATACTTGTTCTGTGAAAGCTGAGCTCTTTGATAGTTATTAGAATTTGACCCTTGGTTAAAGTTTTCCCAAGATTCATTGCACTGGTGACTTCTCTCTTCATTATATGTACTCTGATAATAATTTAAGAGATAAAAACTTTTAGTGAGGGCTCTAATATCTTTGCATATGTACAATTGTTCCCAATTGCCTATTCTGATACGATACATATTGTATATATATCCAGTCACATTTATGAAAATTATAGACTTTGGGAAAAGAAATATTTTTCCATGAAACAATAATACAAAATTGGTTAAGGGGTTTACAAATTCATTTATAACTTGTATCTTCATTTTTAAATATCTCACTTTTAGAAATATTTGACTGTTTAATCAAATGCCACATTAAATCATTCAAAAATTATTTGCACAGTGGACTAGGTGACTTATCCAATATTACAAATTTTTCTTCAGAGAATATGTATTCATTTATTTATTTTAATTCCCACATGAGAAAAATGTTTATTAATTTTTAGAGAGAGAAAAAAAGGGGGAGAGAGAGAGAGATAAAAGATAAATTGATGTGAGAGGGAAAGATTGGTCAATTGCCTCCTTCCTACACCCGGACCAGAGATTGGACCCTAAATCTACATGTGCCTCAACCAGCATCAAAACCACAACATTTCAGGGTGAAACTTCAACCAACTGAGCCACAGCAGCCAGAGCAGAGAATATATACTTTAAAATTTTTTTTCTTTATTTTTTATTTTTTGGTTCAGAAACACATTATTTTGCCAATGTAACTGATGTCAAGTAGAGGGTAACTGCCCCACTTTGGCCATATTCATCATGACTAACAAGGTTTCTTTTTCTTAATAATCCCCTGCACATTACAAAATTTTCATTCAGTGTAAATTCTCAATGCCACATCTGTTATATCTTACCTGTAACATTTTCTGGAATGATACTTCTCCACTTGACTTTGGCAACAAACCCTGGGTGACTTGAGAAGATATAGCTGAAATATAACAAATTAATTATAAAATATACTTAGGTAAATGTACAGAATTAATACCTGTAAGAAGACTCCAGTGAGATAGAAAAATAGGAAACACAAAACTTTCTTCCTCCATGGAGATGTTAACTTACCAACAATTATTGACCCAATTACCTTCTAAAGTACTTCAGAAGCCAGTTCAAAGATCACAATATCAACCAAAAAGCACAAAATAAAAAAAGTCATATCAAAGAGGGAAACAAGTTACCTACATTTACCCATAATGCCTAATCACCCTTTCTGACGCAGGAATGGGAAAATATCATGGGCTCTAAATAAAAGCAAAGTATTTTTTAAACTTGGAAGTTACACAAAACTCACACATGCAGTCTTCTGATTAAGACAGACATGTAGGTAATTGTGACACTGGCAACCTCCCACAACCACATAAAACACACACACACACACACACACACACACACACACAGACAGACAGACAGAAACGAAACTATAGGAAAAGCATCTTTCAGAACTGACTGAAACCTAACTAAATAAAGTTGTAAAACTAAGGACATAAGGAAGGCTTATCCAGACTGGTAGGAGATGCAATGTCACAGAAAGGACTGGGCCCATGTGGTGGATAAAAATCACCAATGACATATCGGCTGCAGAGGTCACATCTGAGGAGTAAAGGGTCTCCGCCCCACAGAAGGCCGGCCAGCCCAGGGTTCCAATGCCATGAAGAGACATTCCCATTACTCTGGCTGTAAAAACTAGTAAGGATTGTGGTTGAGTGAGATAGAGAGCTGATGGATCCCTAGGCGATCCTCTTAAAGAGCTCATGCTCTGACTTATTCAGATTCATGCCGTGAGCTCCAGTGCTGTGGCAGAAGCTCAAATGGCACCAGAGACATAAAGTTTGGACCTGACGGATGAGAGCTGGAGAAGGAGTTTTCTCCCAGGCATAAGTCTTGGTAGAAGCCATTGTTCCTTTTCTGAGCCTTTCACCCACATACTTAGCAAATAGGAGCCAGAGCTGAGTCTCCATCCACTTGGCTCACACTTTTCACCACACCCTGAATATTTCCTGACACCACAGCGCATAAACCTGTGGGACCACCAAAGTTGTTTCCAGTGGCTTTTCCATATAAACAACCTAAATGGGCTTATGCTTCAGTCTTTACAACAATTTCTCAAATAAGCAGGATCTAGCCCCAGTTTATACCCCCATAACTCTGTCTAAGTGGCCCCAGCACAGAAACTATGTAATGTCTAATTATTGGGGTGCACACTTAAAACTAATATATTATATTGGAAACTACAATTGAAAAAAAATTTTTAAATGAGTTAAACACACACACACACACATACACACACAAACACCAATTACACTTTCCAGAATAGGTGTGACAGGCCATTAAAAACTTACCACAGCTGATAGTTATTTTTGTTCTCCTGTACAAAGCAAGTTTACAAAGAATGGGAGAGCAACAAAAATCACAAGGCTTATGAAGAAACAGAAAAACAATCCAACCAGAAGAATAAAATAAATCTCCATAACATAACCCTAAGTTAATGAATATGTGTTAATTACCTGACAAAGATATTGGGGGGGGGGGGCCTTAAAAGGGCTCATTTGGGGGAGGGGGGGAAACATAAGAAACTAATTATTGCAATCAAAATTAGGCATGACAATAATAAAAATGCAAACAGACAGAAAGTATAAGAAAGAACCAAATATCGATAGATATTGGGAAATGAAGAATATAGTTATTTACCTGAATTGAAATATTCAATAGAAACATCAGCAAAAGACTTGATTAAGCAAAGGAAAGAATAAGACAACTTGGACACTGACCCATAGTGTTCTTGGGATCTGAGACCAAATTCCAGTATCTCAACCACTTTCCTCCCAAATTACTTGAATGAGTCAGAAAACAGAACTTTAAAATTAGTTTAACTTAAAATTCCTCAGCAACGTGCAAAGACTTCCCCAGGTTCACCAAGAAATGCAAGAGTAGCCAGGTCATGCCACCCCTTACACTGTTTCAGGAGGACTTTGGCTCTCACTGCAAATGTGATGGAAGCAGAAAGAGAATCCTTAAATGATGTTGGAGAGTAAGTGTTGGAGAGGATCTGTCCCTCGAAGACAAAAACAGAAATAAAAGCGACCCTCTCAAAAATCAGGTCCACTGACGCAGATGTTTTCAAATCATTATATAATATCTGATCTTCGGCCTCTCACCTGGATTATATGCTTCCTTGATTTCCACCTACCTGGATGAATGGGTATTGTCTTTTTTCTCTTCAACTGCCAGGGCTCCTTCATGTGCTCCAAAAAGGTGAGTAGGTCTGGCTTAGACACACCTGTTTATTAGAAAAAGGAACATGGTCCATAGCCAGTTTGACTCCTTGGGTAGAGTGTCAGCCTGGGGACTGAAGGGTCCCTGGTTTGATTCTGGTCAAGGGCACATGCCTGGGATGCAGGCTCGATCCGCAATAAAGGATGTGCAGGAGGCAGCCAATCAATAATTCTCTCTCATCATTGATATTTCTACCTTTCTCTCCCTCTCCCTTCCTCTCTGAAATCAAATAAAAATATATTAAAAACAACAACAACCAAAAACTTATTTTAAAAAGACAAAGGAATAGGGGTTCAATGGAGAACCTCTAATTTCCAATCCAGCCCTGTACTCAAGTAAGAAGATAGGACATTGTAGAATATCAGAATATTCTAGAAAATTATTTCCCAAAATATTATTTTCTGACAGAACCTTTAACAGTACTGGAGACAACATTTAAAGTTTTCAAATCTTGAGTTTCACTTCCAAATACATCAGAAGCCTTTCTGTCCTGCACCAGCAAAACCCAATTGCTTTCCTTAATAACATGTATCTGAAACTCTATCATAAAAACAGAAGCTATAAGAAGACACTGTACTAATGAAGAAAAGAAAACCCTGCGGGTGGAGGAGAAATTCTGGAAGGAAGTGGTCCTCACCCAGGAATACCAGGTTCTTGTAGTTCTGCAACATCACATCCATGTACAGTTTCCGCTGAGCTGGGTCCAGGCACGCCCACTCCTCTTGAGAGAATTCTATGGCCACATCACTGAAGGTCAGCTGTCCCTGAAATTAAAAGGAAATTAAAAGAAAAGCATTACTCAATTGACCATGGGCAGAGGTCATAAAGTTACCCAAAATGAAAAGTTAATAGAACCAGTTTAGACTTAGGACAGTATCCTGAGTTACCCAACAGCATCACTTTGACATAAATATACTCTAATGTTTAGAAAGGAAGATGGCATATGAGCCACAAAACCGCAGTAAAAGTTTTACTTTTCTGAAAGATAAATTTTTAAAAATACAGTCATCAACACAAGCATATCCATTTTTTAGTGCTATAGTTCAATCATAGAGGATCAACTGTACATATTTCTTAGCTGGAAAAGTCATTCTGAGTGAGCACAGTGTAGCACTTATAAAAAATTTTAATGAGTTCTGGATGGGCCTGAATTTATATATGTTTAACCAGCTCACTTATAACTATAGATGCCAATTTTCTGGTACATGTGCTGTACCTTTGGATACCACAGGAGAAGAAAATACAAGAAAAAAATTCATATACAAGATTTTATGGAATTTACAGGTCTCGTAGATTAGTAAGCTATCAACCACAGTTGTTTTAACAGTTATTTATATATTAATTAATAAATCTCAAAAGTATTCAAAAAACAATAACATTGTTCATTTAAAAAAAAAAAAAGCTTTTATTGATTTTTAGAAAGAGAGAAAGGGGGAAGGACAAAGAAACAGAAACGTCAATGGGATAGAAACATCAATGAACGGACTCCTGCACACCCCCTACCAAGGATTGAGCACCGAACCAGGGCATGTGCCCTTATGGGGAATTGAACCAATGATTTCTCAGTGCATAGGTCAACGCTCAACCAAGTGAGCCACGGCTATTCATCCTTTTCTATGAAAATATTTTGTAAAATATCCATAAAATGGTAGAGCGTGGGTGTTATTCAAAACTTTTCCTCGAATTTGTCAATAAGATCACAGACCAGTACACAGACACAATCCTCATGAATATACACAACTGTTGTAACTGTAAAGAATAGAAACAAGAACGTAAGAAGAAGAGGTCAAATAATGTTAGCATTTTCTTCAAAGAGGCAGACATAAAAATGGAAACCATGTACACATTAAATACAACACAAAATAAAATATTCATGTCAATAAAATTACCCTGAAATAAAATCAACATTAATGTCAGTGTCACAAATCTCTTTGTGAATGATTGTCTTTGTATTTTATAAACACAAAAGGGAGGTAAACACACCATGATTAAAAATATTAGTGCTGCCGAAACCGGTTTGGCTCAGTGGATAGTGTCGGCCTGCGGACTGAAAGGTCCCAGGTTCGATTCTGATCAAGGGCATGTACCTTGGTTGCGGGCACATCCTCAGAAGGGGATGTGCAAGAGGCAGCTGATCGATGATTTTCTCTCATCGATGTTTCTAATTCTCTATGTCTCTCCCTTCCTCTCTGTTAAAAAAAAAAAATCAATAATATATATTTTTTAAAAATTAAAAAATATATATTAGTGGTATTATTTCTTTTTTTAATATATCTTATTGATTTTTTAGAGAGGAAGGGAAAAGGATAGAGAGGTAGAAACATCGAAGAGAGAAACATTGATCAGCAGCCTCCTGCACACCGCCTATTGGGCATGTGCCCACAACCAAGGTATAAGGCCTTTACCGGAATCGAACCCAGGACTCTTCAGTCCAAAGGCCAATGCTCTATCCACTAAGCCAAACTGGTTAGGGCAGTGCTATGATTTCTTACCTTTTATTTATCTGATAAGAGTTATCTTTGGTGTTGATCTGTAATTTATAAATTTAACACACTCGAACATCCATTACTATGATAGTTGTAAACATTTTTGAAAATACAAAGCAGTGATAAAGAAGAGTGTGTCTGTGACAAGTTGGTGAAGATACAATAAAAATGTACAGGTCTGGGGCAAAGCAAGTATCTCCAGTGAACAACAACGACAAACAAGATAGAAGACAGTATCTTCCCACACAATGGCCATTAATTTATGGTGAGAGTTTTTTATGTCCCACAGGGGACCTGGATGGACACAATGGACAGACAGCTGTGGACAACAACACAGAGATAGCTGACTAAAGGTCTAGTTCCTTGCAGATGTTGAAACTGCTGACGCACATGAGCAGTTGATGAAGGCTTGAGTGCTACATGAACTTCCTAGGGTGGCTCTAGTGAACTACACTGTCATCTTTCCCCTATAGCACAGGCACTAACAACCAGGCAACCCAGTTGGGAAAGGAAATAAGTGCACCCTGAAATGGAAGTCTCCACCAGCAGGCCTTTTTCAAGCTACCCTCCTATTTGCTTATTAGAGCCACCAAGCAGAGCCAGCCCCTGAGTCAGCTCAGAGGACCTTCCTTTCTTCTGTGTTATCTCCCTTATGCTTGAGCATAAGCCTAAGAAAATTTCCCAAGATATATCTCTAGAGGTTCCTCTTGATTTCTATCTTGGGGAAATCCAAAAAACCCCAAGTGACAGTAACATTTTAAAGAGGAAACTTATAGAATCACAAGGGGAAAAAGTAAGCAGTTGAAAACAACTTCGTGTTGCAGGATCATCAGAAATTGAGAAGCAACGGTCTGCACCATCTAAATACATGAACTTTAGAAGGAAAAGCAGACACAGAACTGAGCCAAGAAAGAGCATTTACCTGAGAAGCGGCCATATTGTCCTCTTCCTCCTCCGGTTCTGGGTTGTTTTCTCAGGCGACTTTATGTGGACCCATCACACCTGCATTTTGAGGCTACGCCGTGCTTCCACCACACTCACAGGCAGAGGGACTTGGAATGATGAAAAATGTCACACTCCCCGGCCCTTTGACACAGGAGAGATTAAGAAACAATGAGATGCTACATGAAGACCAAACCGTAATTTTTCCCTCTCCTGTCTTCCTTTGCTCTCTCCTCCGACAGACGTGCCCAAATTCCGACCCAGCAATGAGAAAGTGGGCTGCACTTCTGTTCCTCCCGAACCCAAGAGAGGACCTTGGATCAAAGCCCATTGTCAACTCTCACAAATGCACTGGGGCAGGGAGTCCTTCTGCTGAACACTGGCCCCACTTTTGAATCACCTGGAGCACCACACTAAAATGACGATGATCTACCCAGACCAGTTGTTCAACTCTGAGGGGGAAGGCACAGGCATTGTTATTTCGTACAACTCATCAAATGGTCTAATGGAAGCGCACCATCTAGCTAAGCATTTCTTCTACAGCTTTAACGTGCACACAGAACTGCTGGGGATCAAGGTCCCACTCTAAAAAGTTATGATTCTGTAGGTGGGCAGTGAGGGCCATGAAATAGCATCTTTGCTTAGTGCCCTGGTGCAGGTGACCTGCTTTAGGTAGCAGTGGGCTAGAGATACTTAGACCCGACACACCTGAGCCCGGTGGGTAGTGTGAGGGTTTGAGGTAGGGACTTTTAGAGGGCAGGCTCCCAGGGTGGATTCCTAGAGATGGGGTTGTCCTGAAATGGGTTTGGCCAGGCCTGTAGCTACTGTGCAGATGCAACACAGGAGAAGAGAAAACTTGGTGGCAACAGGGTTCTTGTGAGAATCCTGTCCTCAGAATCCTTCCAAAATGCCACTCGGTCCCCAGTTCTTTGCTCATACCCCTCCTATGGGATACATCGTACCCTGTTTCCCAAAAAATAAGACAGTGTCTTATATTAATTTTTGCTCCCAAAGATGAGCTAGGTCTTATTTTCAGGGGGTGCCTTATTTTTCCATGAAGAACACGGTACACATTTATTGTTAAATGAAAATAAAGGAAATTTATTACCTGTATATGGTACGGTATTACGGTAGTTGTCAACACAAATCAGACAAACTGTGAATCCTACAGTATCAAGAATTTACTCATTTATTCAATGACAATCATGACATCATCTTCTGGAACATCATCATAACAATCCAATTCCTGAATTTCCTAGTGAATGTCTTGTGACTCCATTTCTTTCAGAATCAGTGGACCAAATCTCTCATGTTTAGCCTAGGGGGGGCCTTATTTTCGGGGGGATGCCTTATATTTCACTCAGAAGGAAACCTGTAAGTAGGTCTTATTTTCGGAGGATGTCTTATTTTCTGGGAAACACGGTATAACAGGATATTCTCCCTCCTCCCCTGTCCATAGATGAGTGGAACCTCAATCACTAAGGGACAAGCGGCAGAAAAGTGGTTCCATCACTGTATTTTTTACAAATGAAGTGAAGGAGCATACTCTAGAAGCCTGTCAAGACATAAGATTGTTTGTATCGCATTCATGTTCACTTTCTCTTAACTGTACTCCCGAACACATCGTAATCATTGCTCTTGCTAATGTGAGAACATTTCACATGAGACCTACCGTTTCAATTTTTTTAATATATATTTTTATTGATTTCAGAGAGGAAGGGACATAGAAAGAGATAGAAACATCAATGATAAGAGAGCTCCCTCCTGTAGGCTGACACTGGGGATCAAGCTGGCAACCTGGGCATGTGCTACGACTGGAAACTGACCCGTGATCTCCTAGTTCATAGGTCGACACTCAACTACAACACTGGGTCTCTATTTTTTCTCCATTTACTACTTTCCCGAGTCTCTCTTTCATATTTGCAGTCGATTTGCAAGGACCTTCCACATCCTCACTTTTGCTATCTCCTTATGGGCCCCCTCACTGACCTTTCTGCCCTCTCACTACTTTATTTCTTCTTGTCTCTTTCTCCTGATTCCCACTCACACCCGCACTGCACCCCTTTCATGGCCACCCCGTCGCAGTCACGGCTTCCACGAAGCCAATCCCTGCATGGGGGGAGGTGACAGCTTGGTGGGACACCCCGTGTTCTTCTGTCCTATATCCCACCTCACTGAAAAGTGTACTCTCCCTCGGCATCCGGCATCCTACTTATTAAATGGGGAGTGGGGGGGCATCTGGAAGGGGGTTGGGGGTGTCCGTATACTCCCAGGCCAGGGAGGAATCCGGGCTCCACAGGCCACTGCGAGGCTGCGGAAGGAGCAGAGGGTTTGACTCCATCTCCCAAGACTTTAATGGCCCAGGGTGGGGTGGCCAGTGAAAGATTTTAGGAGGAAAACTACGCGTGGGCGGTGAGCAGTGGCCCGAGGAAGGGGAGATCACAGGCAGGGCGGACTCCGTTAGAGCGACAGGTAACGCGGGGTCTCAAACCCGCAGCGAAGCCCTCCGGGCAGGTCTCATTGGGACGCGAGGCTTACCGCTGATGGGAGGCGGGTTTGGGGTTTCAAGGTCTCCTCGGCTTCACACGCGCAGGACTGTGGGCTGAGATGCGGAGGTTTACGGAGAAAGACCAAAGGTCTCAGACGCCTGTGTTCCCTCCCCTCTGCACTAGCCGCTTCCGGGTCCGGGAGTAACTGCGCGTGCGCGATCGGCAAAGGGGCGGGGCGCGGCGGGCGCTGGGCGGGGCTCGGGGCGGCCCGGGCTCCGGGGACAATGGGAGGATGGGGCGGGGCCGAAGCGCGGGGCGTGAACCAGGGTGTTTGATTCAGAGACTGCACGTGGGTTTGGGCTGAGCTCCAGGACCTGGGGCGGCGCGTGAAATGCCCTGAGGCTTAAAGGAGGATGTAGCCTGTTCGGTGGAAAAAGTGGTGGAACCGCGGCTGGAGCAGCGTTTCCTGCTGGAGGGTGGAGCCCAGCTCCCAGAATGATGACCAGGGTCAGCGCTGCCCCGGGGTGATAGCTGGGCCCTGACTCCTGTCCTCTGGCCTCAGAGTTTGTATTTTCTCAATTCTGAACCTGTGCAATGTCTTTAGTGCCCTGTAAAGCAGGACTACTCCCTGCCAATGTAAGTAGATATTTCAAACTGTTTAATGTAAAATTTAGAGTTCAGTGGGCCACTTACGTTGAAAGCTACAATGTCTTTGTTTTAACAGGCTGAGAACGGATTTGCTCAAAACTTCCATTGGGAAGTGTTGGACACGTCTGCGGGTATTGGCAGAGATGCCAGCTGAACTCCAGCGCTGGGGTCTGAGAACCTGGCAGAGTTGTGGTGGAGCGATGATTGGATGGAGGGACGATCCAAAAAAGTAATTTAATGAAGCAAGGGGTGCAGTTGTCTGTGCAGGAGATGCAAACTTTTTTTTTTTCTTTTTTAAGAGATGCAAACTTGAAGGTAAAATTCAAAATTGTATCTGTGTGAAATTCAAAATTCTATCTTTGGGAAACAGGCCATGGCAGACCAACATCTATCAGAATACCATTTCCAGCCGGGACCGGTTTGGCTCAGTGGATAGAGCGTCGGCCTGCAGACTGAAAGGTCCCGGGTTCGATTCCGGGCAAGGGCATGAACCTTGGTTAGCGGCACATCCCCAGTAGGGGGTGTGCAAGAGGCAGCTGATGGATGATTCTCTCTCATTGATGTTTCTAACTCTCTATCTCTCTCTTCTTCTCTGTGAAAAATCAATAAAATATATTAAAAAAAAAAAAAGAATACCATTTCCATTCCCATTCCCCACTCACCCTGTGCTCAGATGTAGAGACTTTTATAAGGACAAGACCTGGAGGGATGAAGCATGTGATCATTTAGGTCACCATCTGTGAGAAGAAGCAAGTCATATTTTCTGTCAAAAAGCAGTTCAGACAGCTGCCACTTTGAACTTCGTAACTTGGCAGCTGCCCTGTTGGCCGCATGGCTTGCAGCTTCCCAGAGGGCTCCATCTTAAAACAGCAAAGGCTAGCTCCTCCCTTTGAGTTAGCCAATCATGAAAGACTGTGCCTGAGCTCCAATCAAGAGTAAGGGACATGTCACGTGCCTCAAGGATCATAAAGCTGAGCAGACCACCTGCTTGGTGTGCTTGGGCTTCCAGACCATGTGTGCTCACTATTGTACGTAGAAGTAAAGATGTTTGCTTTGCTGCCTGGCTCCCGAGAATGTTTTGTTTCTACCAGACCCCGGATTAGGGGGCTCGCCTTATTTCTAACACCATCCATGGTTTTCGTGTTGTTTTTTTTAAAACACAGCATCAACTTTTACAAAATAGATATAAATTATATTGTCCTTTACATATTTGGCACTTGAAGGAATGATAAACTCAAATACCTTTGTTGAGATAGACTTTTATGATAGCATAATTCATTTGTCATTGGCTTTTCTGTATATAATACTGAGAAGGAAAATTGGGGGGGGCAACTTTGGGGGCTTACATCTAGTTAAACAGTAATTTTACAAACCCCATTCCAATTGACTTTGGTGGAGCTACAAGCCCACCCCAAGGGCCCCACCACAAGAATGAATATATATATATATATATATATATATATATATATATATATATATATATATATATATCTCAAAACCTCCTATATTGTCAGTTCAGGCTTTGGATCAAAGTCCCCTGAACTAGCAGCACAATCTATTTTACTGAGGGCCTTTAGGGAAGAGTTGAATTGCTGAGAGGACAATGGGATCCCACGTCCTCAGGAGGCCAGATCTCGAAAGCTTTACAAAACCTCTGAAAACAGGACACATTTTGTCAGCCATGCTCATCTCCCTCCCAAGGTGCCGAGGACAGAATATGTGGCAAAGGATCACTAAAGTTTTTACAGACTGACTTCAGGAACCACTGCCCAGGCACAAAAGCAGGAACCTGGTCCACCAGGCTCCTCCCTCTTACATCAGCAGCCTTATTTCGCTGTGTTTAAAACACTTCCCCAAGTAGCCTTCACCATGAGAAGCAGACACAGCCTTGCCTACAGCCCCACTTCAGACTCCAACACGCATCTGAGAGCAAAGACACGGACGGTCTCAGGGACTACAAGAGGCACCGCGTGCCCTCGTCATGCACAGCCCTCCCCACTTGGCCCACTCACCTCCCTCCAGGCTACTGGTGCTGCTCCTTGTCCTCTCAGGTGAGTGGGACCTGGAACAGAACAGAATTTACCGCTGGCTGGTCCCGGAGAGGGGGATCAACTGCTTTGGCAGGCCTCGTGGGGGAAGAATCCACCAAGACAGAGTAGGTCTCAACCTTTCCTGACCCAGCAGAGCACAGACCCAGTGTCCAAAGAAGCAGAACTTCTTGGGCAGCACAGGGAAGGTAAATTCCCAGGCTCTGGGTTCTGGGCTCATGCCAGGTGGGTTCTGGTTCAGATACTTGTGTGCCCATGTCAGCTCTTCCACCAAGCAGGCCCACTAAGGGGACATTTCTCTAGAAGTGTTAGGAGTGTTAAACATAAAAAGGGTGAAGCGCAGCCCAGGGCCGTTGGTGTTATTGGTGGGGCCCTCTCCCTTCCTTGTAAAATGTAAACACAAGTCCTTTGTTCAAGAAGTATTAAGAATTTTAGCCAAAACCGGTTTGGCTCAGTGGTAGAGCGTCGGTCTGCGAACTGAAAGGTCCCAGATTCGATTCCGGTCAAGGGCATGTACATTGGTTGCGGGCATGTGCAAGAGGCAGCTGGTCCATGTTTCTCTCTCATCGACGTTTCTAGCTCTCTATCTCTCTCCCTTCCTCCTCTCTGTAAAAATATCAATAAAATATATATATTTTTTAAAAGTATTAAGAATTTTAAAGCTCCTAGCTGGTTTGGCTCAGTGGATAGAGGGTTGGCCTGCGGACCAAAGGGTTCCACGTTTGATTCCAGTCAAGAGCATGTACCTTGGCTATAGGCTCATCCCCACCCTGGACCCTGACTGGGGTGTGTGCAACAGGCAACCAATGTGTTTCTCTCACATGGATGTTTCTCTCTGTCTTTCCCTCTCTCTTCCAGTCTCTCAAAAAAAATAAAATATCAATGGAAACATATCCTTGGGTAAGGATTAACAACAACAAAAATACATACATATATATATATATATATATATATATATATATATATAATTGATATTTATTTCAGAGAAGAAGGGAGAGAGAGAGAGATAGAAACATCAATGATGAAAAAGTCATTGATGACTACCTCCTGCACATCCCACACTAGGGATCAAGCCCACAACTGGGCATGTGCCCTTGACTGGGATCAAACCCAGGACCTTCCAGTCCACAGGCTCTGTCCACTGAGCCAAACCAACTAGGGCAAAATATTTCATTCTTTAAAAAAAAAAATAATAATTTTAAGGCAGCAACAACAGAGCATGAACTCAAGCATAAGGTCTATGTGTTTGAACAGCCATGGGCTCGCACTGGCCCAGCCTGAGACAAACCTAGGCTCAAATCTCATTCCGTATTGCTCTAATTAACTTCTCTCTGAGCCTCAGGTTTCCCTCTCTGTGAAATGGGGCTAATCATAAGACTCACCTCATGACTTTGTTAGGAGGTTTCAATGAGGTTATACCTATAAGTACAGTTGACCCTTGAACAATGCAGGGGTTTAGAGTCCTGACTCCCTGGGCAATTAAAATCCATGTATAACTTTTGATTCTCAAAAAACTCAACTAATAATAGTCTACTGTTGACCAGAAGCCTTCCTTATAACCGGCCCATGAACACATATTTTGTGTTATATGTACTACTAGAGGCCCGGTGAACAAAATTTGTGTACAGTTGTCCCCTCAGCCCAGCTGCACCCTCTCCAATCTAGGACCCCTTGGGGGATGTCTGCTGGTTTAAACCCTATCCCAGGGATCGGGCCTAAACGACAGACATCCCTCTCATAATCTGGGATTGCTGGCTCCTAATCGCTCACCTGCCTACCAGCCTGATTACCCCTACCTGCCCGCCCTCCACCAGCCTGGTCACCTATTACTGCACACCCCCCTACTGGCCTAGTCACCCCACGAAGCCTGCTGTTCAGTCTGGGTTTGGTTATCACTAACCCCCCTGCCAGCCTGGTTGTAGGCAGCCATCTGGTGAGGGCATGAGGATTAATTTGCATATTACATCTTTATTAAAAAGGATATTCTGTATTCATATAATAAAGTAAGTTAAATTTAAAAACTATTATTAAGAAAATCATAAAGATCCTGGCTGGTGTGGCTTAGGAGTTGAGCATAGACCTATGAACCAGGAGGTCAATCGAACCAGGTTTGAGTCCCACTCGGGGCACATGCCTGGGTTGTGGGCTCGATCCCCAGTGTGCGCCATGCAGGAGGCAGCCGACCAATGATTTTCTCTCATCAATGTTGTATCTATTTGTCTCTCCCTCTCCCTTCCTCTCTGAAATCAATAAAAATATATTTTAAAATATTTTTTTAAAGAAAACCATAAAGAAAAGAAAACATACTTATAGTGCTGTATGTATTTACTGAAAAATATCAAACCCATGTTGATCAAGGGTCAACTGTTCCTGGCACAATGTAAAGATTGAATAACTATTTGCTATTATTATCAGACTCAGCTCCTCTAAGATCATTTAGCTGCATGGTCTTGAGGATCCTAGGTATTGTTCAGCCTCTCAGCCCAGATCACTGTGATCCACCAGCCAAGATGCTTAGCTCTCAACAGGCTCATTCCATCTCTTGCCCATCTGGTCCCTTACCCCCAGTCCTTATTGAGATCTATTGTAGATTCTGTTCATCACACCTTCGGTCCTCCCAACCCTATGGTAACCCCAGGAGGTGCTCTGGTGGGACTCAGGTGTGGGGCCAGACCTAAATGCTCCCTTGTTCAATGGCTATGACTTGAGGCACCACTTCACTTCCCCAAGCTGATTTTCTTGAATAATGATAGCTAATATTGAGAGAAGCTGGCTTGAAATACGGCAGATAGGGCAGGGGTCCAGGGGGAAACAAAGGCAGGTGGAACATAGGCTGGGACAGACAAGGCAGTTTGAGCAGCTCAATCACAAAAACCAACCAAGTAGGAATAACAAAATGTTTTTGGACTCAAAGTGGGAGTCAGGTGAAACTAAGGAGGGTCTGCAATGATAAGGCGAACTGATGCATAGGGACAGGGATAGTTCAGATCTATTGCTGGGCTAGAACAATTGAGGGAATCAATCAGGTGACACCGGTAAATATAGAGCAGGCATAGAGCAAATATACACCTCTAGACTACAGTCCTTTAAAGGAGCAGCCCATTATTATGAGAGGAGTCTAAATCTGCTTGTAATAAATTTTCCACTTTTGCTTAGTTAAATCTTCTGGTCCGTGGAACTCATTCTTAGGTGTCAAAGATGAGGCCCTGGGAAAAAACCTCAGCTCACCCTGCAGATTATCAATATGTTTAGCATTTGCATTGTGCTGAGCCCTCCACCAACTACTGAAAGAAGGGATGTTGAAATCTCACACTTTGTGCACTTGTCTGTTTCTCCCTGCTATTTTATTATGGGGTTTTGCTTTATATACTTTGATGTTCTGTTATTAGGTACACAAGTGTTTGGGATTTATATGGCTTCTTGATTAATTTGCTCCTTTATCATTATGAAATAATACTCTTTATTCCTGGAGATAGTGTTTGCTCTGAAGTCAACTTTATCTGATATTAAAATAACCACTCCTTGCCCTAACCAGTTTGGCTCAGTGGATAGAGCATCCCAGGTTCGACTCCAATCAAGGGCATGTACCTTGGTTGCGGGCACATCCCTAGTAAGGTGTGTACAAGAGACAGCTGATTGATGTTTCTCTCTCATCGATGTTTCTAACTCTATCTTTCTCCCTTCATTTCTGTAAAAAATCAATAAAATATATATTTTAAAAATAATAACCACTCCAGCTTTCTTTTGATTGGTGCTAGTATGCTGAATATTTTTCTATCATTTTCACCTATTTTACACCTTTAATATTTATAGTGTATTTCTTATAAGCAACAGATAGTTGAATCTTATTTTTGTATCTAATACAACAAGTTCTAACCTGTACTTAAGATATTTAGACCATTTACATCGACCAATTTAAATCTATTTTCCTCCTTTCTGTTCTTTGTTCCATTTTCCTTCTACCTATTATTGGTAATTAAATATTTTTATAATGCTATTTTATCTCCTTTATTGGCTGTTAGCTATAACTCTTTATTTTGTAGCTTAGTGATTGCTTTAGAGTTTAATTACACACCTTTAATTTATCACCATCTACCTTTTTCCATACCATTTCACATATACAATCATGCATTATTTAGGACACAGACTGACAAATTAGGTGAATTTGTTATTGTGTCCACATTTAGGGTTCATGAAGAACAAAACAACATGAGATTAAATCATACCCAAGAGAAAACAATGTAATCACGAGCTGCAATAGACATGAGATGTGTGAGGCTGTGCCAGCATAACATGGCATTCTGTTTTAGAGCATACTAAATACTTCTATTTTAAAAGTAAACAAAGTATACTCTAAAATGATTAAAGTATAGCATAGTAAATATGTAAACCAGTAACATAATCATTTATTATCATCATTGACTATTATGTACTGTACATACATATATATATATATATATATATATATATATATCTATATATATATAAAAGCTTAAACGACTGGTCTACTGGCCAGTTTACAGATCGACCAGTTGCTATGACATGTATTGACCACCAGTGGGCAGATGCTCAATGCAGGAGTTGCTCCCCCGTGGTCAGTGCACTCCCACAATAGGAGCGCTGCTCAGCTGACCAATGGGCACCAGCTGCTGGGCTCACGATTAGCAAGCACAGCTGTGGCTGCACATCCAGGAGCAGCAGCTAGTCTACTGAGCAGCAGCCAGCACAGGGGGGCCAGGATGAGTGGGAGCAGGTAGTGTCTGGCTCAGGCTCCGGCTTCTCCCTGGCAGCCTGCTGTTTCGTACACTACTGCATCCCTTGGGGGATGTTGGACTGCCAGTTTCGGCCAATCCCCACAGTCCACATTGAAGAACCCCAGTGGTGCACGAATCTGTGCATTGGACCCCTAGTATATATTATAGTGTTTTTTAAAATATATTTTATTGGCTTTTTTACAGGAAGAAAGGGAGAGGGATAGAGAGTCAGAAAGATGGATGAGAGAGAAACATCGATCAGCCACCTCCCCGACACTCCCTACTGGAGACATGCCCACAACCAAGGTACATGCTCTTGACCGGAATTGAATCCAGGACCCTTTGGTCCACAGGCCCATGCTCTATCCACTGAGCCAAACCGGTCAGGGCTAAAAATATTTTTTAATTTAAAAAAATAGAGGTAGTAAAATAACGCCCTTCTCATAGAGTGCTGGTACCTATCTGGGTATAGAAGAACATCAATCGGTGACCTCCACCCTCTTTCTCTGAGCTTAGTCTGAGGCCAACCTCAAAGTTCAACCTATCCCCCAGATAGACTCACTTCATATCGCATCAACGAGCATTGAAGGAGTCACAGGAGGCAGGGAGGGTACTTGCAATGAGCACCACAGCACTTAAGCTATGTGTGATTCATTTGAGGGTTAAGACCAGGGGTTCTAGAAACAGGCTTTAAATGTTTGGACTGAGGCTATGTCACATTTTTGGGGGTGGTGAATTAGTTTTCTAGGGATTTCATAACAAAGTACCACAGGCTGCTGGCTTAAACAACAGAATTTTTTAAAATATAATTCTACAGGCTAGTAGTCTAAGATGAAGATGTCTACGTGGTTGATTTACCCTGAGGCCTGTCTTCTTGGTTGTAGATAGCTGTCTTCTCCTCGTGTTTTCATGTGATCTTCCGTGTGTGCACGCTCGCACACGTGTGTGTCCTAATCTACTGTTCTTATAAGGACCTCAGTCATATTGGATTAAGACCCACCCAATTTACCCCATTTTAACTTAATTATCTATTTACAGACTGACAAATGCAGTCATGTTTTGAGGTACATGGGTTAGGACTTCAACATATGAATTGTAAGGATAGGAGCACCATTCAGCCCATACACGGTGACCCTGAGAAAATTACCTAATCTTTCTGGGTACTCAGTGTCTTCTGTTCAAAAATGGAGATGATGCTGCCTACCTCAAAGGAGTGCTGGGAGGAATAAATGCAGAAACACATGCAGTGCCGGGCCCTGGTGAGTTCTCCATTCAATATCTCTGTTCTCTCCACCCAGTTGCCTCATCTCCCCTTTCACTTCCATTTCCAGGAAACCTTAGAGTGTCTTGAGCAATTGTTCTTGGTTTCTGTTAAGCTTGCCTCTTAGGTCTCCAAATCTTTCCTGTGCAGCTCAAGGCCTTTCTTCGTCTATTGTAGGAGTCTCTGAGCGGAGCAAAGGGAATGAGTGGCAGGTGCTGCAACCTGAGGGTCCCATGCTGGTGGCAGAAGGTGAGACACTCCTACTGAGATGTACAACGATCGGCTCCTGCCTTGATGCCATGATAAAATGGGTCAAGGTGAGCAGTCAGGACCAGCAAGAAATTTATAATTTCAAACATGGCTCTTTCCCTGGGATGACACCCATGATCCAGCAGACGTTAGAGCCACTTAGTTGCGACTATTCCATCTATATTTATAATGTCACCAAGGACCAGGAAGGAACCTACCACTGTGTGAGGTCTGATGGCTTGAGTGAGCACTCAGAAATGCAGCTGGATGAAGGCACCTCAGTGCTTGTGAAGGGTGAGTATCAGGCCCTGCTGGTTAAAACATTCTGCTCTGATCTGTTTTTCTACATCTGTCACTTTTATCCACAATCACGCTGCATACACAAAATCTCAGTGGCACATAACAGTTAGTGTATCTCACCCACACATTTATAGGCAGCTGGGTGGTTCTATTCCATATGTCCCATTACAGACTGGCCAGAGTGCATTTTCTCATGGAAATGCCAGGAGATCAAGAAGTCAAGTCCCGCCGAAACCGGTTTGGCTCAGTGGATAGAGCATCAGTCTGGGGACTGAAGGGTCCCAGGTTCGATTCTGGTGAAGGGTGTGTACTGTGGTTGCGGGCACATCGCCAGGTGGGGGCGTGCAGGAGGCAGCTGGTCGATGATTCTCTCTCATCGATGTTTCTAACTCTCTATTCCTCTCCCTTCCACTCTGTAAACTATCAATAAAATAAATTTAAAAAAAAAGTCAAGTCCTAACAGTACATTTCAAGCTTCTACTGACATAGCGTCTGCTAGCAGTCCATTGGCAAAGTAAGTCACATGACACAGCTCCAATTCAGTAGACAAGAAAGTGTACCCTACCATCATGAGGCTATGGCAGGAGTCTGGATGTTCCAGAGGGGAGTTAGGAGCTGGGGCTGATCATTTAATTTCCTCACTATCCAAGAAATCAGTCATTTTATCTATAAGGTCACCAATGGTGATCTGGATACCCAAATCCTGGTTGTGTCATTCAATAGAAGTGTGTTCTTAAATCAGTCACTTCAGCTCTATGTACCCCACGTGCCTAACTTGAAAAATAGACAACATAATTCCTGCTTCAAGAGTTGTTCGGGTGAGGAACAGAAGTTTGTGAAACCACTCTGTAAAATGTCAGCATGGAGAGTATCTGTGCGTGTGGTGATGGTGGCGGGGAGGTCCTTTTTCACTTGATGAAAGCATTTTGGGAAGACTTCTCTGACTCCTTCCAGCTGTGGCTGGTGCCTTCTCTTGGTCGCACAGTCCTCTGGGTTTCCAAACTCAGGGGGATTTCCTGGGCCATCTCCACAACCAGACTGAGTCCTTCTTCAGGGCAGGATGTTTGTGTGTCTTTCCTGAGCTTCCTTTTTCCCTGTTCTAGCATCAACACGAAGTCTGTACTGAGGACTTCTTTATATCCCTGGCTGGTGTGGCTCATTCCTTACACGGAAAGATTGCTGGATGGATTCCTAGTCAGGGGATATGCCCAGACTTGGAGTTCCATCCCTTTTCAGAGCATGTGCAGAAGGAAATCCGTCCATGTTTCACTCTCACATCGTTGTTTCTCTCTCTTTCCCTCTCCCTTCCTCTCTTCAACTACCGAGTCGTGAGGTGACATAGGAGGGAGTGGCCGAGTGAAGAAATCAGGAAAGTGGAAGGGAGGAAAGATAGGAGGGTGGGAATGAGTGGACAATGGAAGAAGAGAGAGAATAAAACAAAGGATGTGTCTTTGGCTTCAGGAGCTGGGGACCTGGAGCCAAACCTCTGGATCATCCAGCCCCAGGAGCTGGTGTGGGCAGCTCCCGGAGACACTGTCCTCCTGAACTGCACCGTGCATGGAGAGGGTCCTCCCGGGCCCATCCGGTGGTTCCGGGGCACTGGTCTGAGCCGTGAAGCCATTTACAACTTCGGAGGCCTCTCCCAGCCCAATGTGACTGCGGTCCAGGCCTCCAGCAGCGATTTCAGCATTCTTCTGCAAGGTGTCTCTCCTGAGTATGCGGGCACCTACTACTGTGTAAAGTTCCAGAGGAAGCTTAACCGGCAATACCTATCTGGACAGGGCACCAGGCTGCAGGTGAAAGGTAAGGCAGGGGGTCTGGGAGGTGTTAGGGAAAACGGGGAGCTTTTCCACAAGGAGCTTTTCACCAGGTCCCAAACACGCCAGCTCTCCTCAGCCTCCGTGCCTTTACGTAAACTGTTCCCTCCACCTGGAATGTTTCATCATTTTTTATGTCCAACTCCTATTTGTCCTTCAAAGCGCAGCATCAATAGCCTCTCCTCAGTGAAACTTCTCCTTTTACCAGGCAGAGTTCATTTTCCTCATTCCGGACCCCATAGAATTTTCTATAGTTAATGGTTCAACAAACAACCAACAAACTGCTCTGCAGTGTGCTCAGAGCTGTGGATACTGCAATAAACCAGACATTGCTTCAATCCCAAAGATGCTCAAATGGGTCTAACTAGTCCTTATAGGTTCTAGGTTTGACTTACAGCCCCCATCCCAGGTAGAGACTGGCAGGCTCATTTTGGTGACCCCAGCTCCGAGCACAGGGCTCAGAAAGTTGTGGGTCAGGAAGAAAAGTGGAATTGAGACTGCCTCTCTCCCTTGCAGCAGAGCCCACTTCTTCCCAAGAGGCAGAAGTCACCAATCACCATGTGGCCAGGAGATCTCTGTGGGGTGAGTGAGTGTTCCTACCGCCAGTGGAACTACCCGGTACCCCACAGGTGAAGGTGGGGCCCAGATGGCTCAGCCATGGGGAGGGAGTCGTCCCATTGAGGGCTCATCTGTCACCAAGAGAGTTCCTAGGACTCTATCTCAACTGCAGAGTCCGGAAGCTAAAGCTCCACCAGAGAAACAGTCAGTGCTGACCGGTCAGTGGGTGGTCTTGCTTGAGAGGTAGTGGTCTCCCCGTGATTCCTTGTGAGATCACACTGCAAAACTGTGCATAACTGTGCATAAGCACATGGCTCTGGATTGAGCCCCTTTCTCTCTGGGAGACTGTGGGCAGGTTGCCTCACTCCTTGAACCTCTGATGTCCTGCTCTGTGTACTGGGGTGTTGGGTGGGGATCAGAGAGCCTACCTCACAGGGTTGTGTGTGGACCCAACGAGTCACATGTGCTGAATGCCCAGAACTGTGTCTTTCACATCACCTGTTAGTACTCAGGGACGCGCGATGGCTGGGGGAACTGGAAATAGAGGTAGCCAGGGTGCCCTCCCTGATGCTCAGCCCTGCTCCTGCCATTCTTTTTTTAAAATTTTATTTTATTTTATTTTATTGATTTTTTACAGAGAAGAAGGGAAATGGATAGAGAATTAGAAACATTGATGAGAGAGAAACATCGATCAGCTGCCTCCTGCACACCTCCCGCTGGGGATGTGCCCGCAACCAAGGTACATGCCCTTGACCAGAATCAAACCTGGGACCTTTCAGTCTGCAGGCCAATGCTCTATCCACTGAGCCAAACTGATTTCGGCATGTTCCTGCCATTCTTGGGAGCCCACCACTTCTTTGACACATGTGGTCCTGAGCAAATCACTTCCCTTCTCTGGGTCTGTCTCCTCATCTATACATATTGCATTGCTAGCCTACCATGCAAGATTTGTTTGAGGATTCTATTAGGCAATTAGGAAGTGCTTAGCTCAGGGCCTGGGGCAGAGGAGTCACTCAGCTAATAAATGAAAGCAGTTTTCTGTTATAGCACGGCATTGGATGATGTAGTTTCCATCATTTTGCGATAATGTGAACAAGATGCCATAGGAATTTCACTTTTTTTTTTTTATTGTTTGAAGCATTAAGGAACCTCACTCTTGTTTATATCACTTAGCCTGTAGTACAGTTGGTCTCATTACAAATATTATATGTTTTGCTTAAAGTCATAGAACCTATGGGTGATGTTAAGTGAGGACTTACTGTATTGTCAGAAGTGAGGGATGCTATCAGGATGATTAAAGATACAGGTAGGATATTGAGCAAAGCCTTTTCAGGGGGACGAAGGGAGGTCTTGGATCTCCCCTTCCAGTAATAGAAAGGATGTAGCCTCGAAGTCCGACAGCAGCTGAGCCCAAACCTCGCCCACAGAGAACACTGATGTATGGGCTCACCTAGGGTCCTTCTTGAACTCTCCTTTGCATCCCCCAGGCCTCCTGTTGGTGCTCACAGCTGTGGTCCTGGGACTGAAGGCAGTGACCCTGACTGCACTCCTGCTGGCCCTGGCTGGCCCTGGACAAAAAAAGCTATGCTCATCTTAGCCTGGGGCATGGGGCATGGGGCATGGATGAGGGGTTAGCTCCAGATGGTGCTCTGAGTCGGAGAGGGGCCAGGACTCCCTAACCATTTCTTTGCCTCCAATCCCAGCCTCCAGATGTCCCCCAGGACTCGTGAGAAACTCCAGTATCCGTACACCTGGTTCCAGTTCACCCGGTGAAATACCCCATTGGCACTGGGCTCCCCTCGGATGTGCTTTCCTCTCTCTTCTCAGCCCTTCTCCTAGCATAAGGCACACCATCTGGCCCACACCAATAAGACACAGGTTGTTTATTACTGGCTATATAAGTACTGGACCTTCTTCAGTAGACGTCTCCTGCCTCATAAGGCAAGGACTCCACTTCGCTCCATAAGATGAGCCCCTGACTGATGCTCTGCTGTGTGAGCCTGAACCAACTGCAGCCGCCTGTCTGACTCTGTCTTTATAGTCCATCTTTCGGTGTGCATCACCAGGTGGCCTTTGCCAGAGCCTAGGACCCCCTAGGAATAGGTAAATAAACCTTGCGTGATTGCATACTAATTCTGACTTGTGTGTTCATGTGTTCCGGTTCGGCTCAGCTGTCTAGACATTGAAGTACCAGGGGATAGACCGTTATTGCCGACTCCTGGTCACCTGTGTTTGTCCCACTCAGTCTAGACAGATAATTAATTAACTGGGGCCTAATTGGGACATCTGGCAAAGGTAAGAGAACGAGAAGCACGTCCAGGCAGGTGGCAAGAGGCAAGAGGGCAAAGAAGCTCAGGACCCCAAAGACAGGGTTGTGTCTGAGAAGGTGCCCTTGGGCCAGAGGCCTGAAGAAAGTGAGGGAGCACCTTGCCCAGCAATGAGGGAAAGGTGTAGCTGGCCAAAGCAGCAAATGCAAGGACTCATGCATATGCTTGTCTGCAACATTGAGGAGCATCAAGAAAGGGATGTGCCTGGAGCAGAGGAAGTGAGAAGCCTAAGAGATGAGGTGGAGGGGCGGGCTCCTGTCACATGGGTCTGGCAGGCCTTAGAGACTCACGCGAAGATGAGGAGCCACCGAAGGCTTGGAAGAGAAGCGTGACCTGCTGTTCTAGATCCGCTTTTGTTCCCTCAAGTGTGAGTGAGCCCCAGGAGGGCAGGGACTTTGCTTTGCTCACAGCGGTTCGCTAGCCCTGGAAGAGCATCGGGCCCTTGATAACACTCCGTAACCATTTGAACAAGTGGATGAACAAATGAATGAATGAATGCAAAGACCGGATGAGTCCATGATTAATTGACTCGTTCAGCCATCCTGCATTCCATTTACCCCCACGTTTCAAAGCCGCCGCGCCCCAATCCCCCGCCGCTGGGCTGCCGCTCTGCGCCATGGCCGCCAGAGGGCGCGGAAGGAGGGGCGGCGTCGCCAGCACGGAAGGCTTTCCCTGAGGCACCGGTGAGGCGGGGCCTGCGGGCGGGCGGGCACCGCTCCCCTGAGCCGGACCCACCCGCGGGCGGAACGCGACGGAGCGGCTGGGGCTGTGCCGCGGCGGCCGGAGCGGTTTGGGGAGCACACACGGTCGAACATGGCGGAGCGGCAGGAGGCTCTGAGGGAGTTCGTGGCGGTGACGGGTACCGAGGACGACCGGGCTCGCTTCTTCCTGGAGTCGGCCGGCTGGGATCTGCAGGTAGGGAGGGCCGCGCGGCGGGCCGCGGCGGGCGGGCCGGGGGCTGCGTGGCGCGGGCGCCCGGCACGTCCAGCCCGCGGCGGCCGAAGCGCACCGTCATCCCTCCGGGCCGCGGCCCGACACAGGCCTCAGGGGCCCGCGGCCGCCTGCCACGCCTCCGAGCGCAGCGGGGTCGCGGGAAAACGCCGGGCAGCCCCGGCCCGGCCCGGCCCTGCCTGGCCTCGGGTTCCCCCCCTGCCTCTCCGGTTCGTTGGGCCGGCGAGGCGAGGGCCCTGCAGCCACCAGCGTGGGGACGGGCCCTGGGGGCGTGGCGGCCGCGCCGAGGCCCGGTCGGAAGATGCTCGGTCGGAGGCCGGGCCGGGAGACTGGTGGGGCGCGAGGTGGTAGTTTATTTCCATGTCCGACCGCAGGAGGGGGGAGAAGCCGGGCCAGGAACCCGGCCCACGCCCCCTCCCACCTCATGGCAGGGAGAAGCTACCTCCCTCCGGGGCGGTGGCGCCCGGTTGGAATGTGTTTATCTTTCTTAGCCACCTTATCTGAAAAATGGAAGTCTCTAAAGGTTATTGTCTAGTTGTCTTGTTCACTGGGATGTGTTAAATATTCATAAATGCTTATTAAGACATTAAGATGAGCCGCACGCAGGCTTTTTTTTTTAACTGTTTAATCACCCCTATCTGGAACAAGGCCCGGCATATAAAAACCATAGAAAGAATTGCATTGCATAAATGTTCCTGGCCGGCGTACATCTTGGATAGAGGATGATGAACCAGATGATGTTCTAACTGCTTTCCGTGTCTTGAGTCATTTAAACTTTGCATTTTGCAGCTAAGGTTCAGGGAGCTTAAGTTACTTGCTCAAGGCTTCATTCACTGCTTTCCGGGTGGGAGAGAGAACATTGGAACTCAGTGACGTCCGATTTCAAAACCCAGCTTCTTCACCACCATATGCCAGGCGCTTTACATATGATGGTTTGTTTAATCCTGGCAACACTGAGGTCAAGATGAGCCTCATGGTACAGACGAGGAGCTGGAAGCTCAGAGGGCAATTGATGTGCCAGGGCTACACAGCCAATACGTAGTGAGTTTGGGATTTGTGCTGGGTCTGCTGACGCCACCATTTAATTTGCTTCCCCAAAGAGAGAGAGCATCGCACCTCTGCAGACTCCGTGTGAGCAAAGCCCTCGTGCAGGGCAGAAACAGAAAGTGCAGTTCCTGCCTGAAAGGCCTAGAAGCTCACGGTGTTACAATTAGCACGTCATCAGCCCCCGTCTCCTCACACTGTAGGTGGGAATCAGTGTCATGTATGTGACATGATTTGCCTGGTCAGGCCATCACTCATATCTCGGTGCCAATCACTCATATCCCGTGACTACACGCTTTCTCCCTGCGAGCCTGTTGTGTCCTGCAAGTTACATTATATCCCAAGGAGGCACACACAGTTCCTAGTGGGATGATTATGTCCCATAACAGCTCACTGCTTCTTTAAGGCTGGTGACCCTGTGGACAGAAGCCATGTCTTTCTTCATCTCTCTAGACCTCCATGCTCTTATCTCTCTGCAAAGTAAGTGATTAGTAAATGCCTGCCCATTGAGTCGATGAGAGAAGCAATCACAAATGGCCAGAAGACTTCCATGTATAAAGCTAAGACACGACTCTGTATACATTTTAAAGGGTTCGCTCGTCCGTTGTGCAGGCGTGGTGGGATGGGTAGGAAACAGCCTCGGAGAGAAAGTAGAAGTGGCATCTGGACTGGCCCCACAGGTCCTGACTCCTGGCTGTCACATAAGAGCAGAGAATAAAGCCTGCACACACTGCCTAGGACGGAACCTGGCTCTGACCTTGGCCGTTTTCTTAATTTCTGAGGACTTCTGTGTTAACTACAAAATGGGAGGATAGTAGTTAAAATTGCATAGGGTTCTTTGAGGATGAATTGAGTTAGCACATGTGCAGTTACATTCAACGTGGCATGTCAGTGCTCAATAATTGTACACGGCTTTTCCTAGATCATGTCTTTAAATGAGAATCATCCCAGCTTTCCCTCTTGCCTTTCCCCCTCACAGTAGGTGGAATTTGTTTCGGGTAACAGTCGGTCTGATTTTCTATGACCCTCAGGTACAGAGCTAGTGTAAGTGTGGGCTTTATCTTTGTGTCTTTGCTCCTTTGTACTCAGAGGATATCTGTGTTAGAGGAAGGCCTGTGTAAGGACCCCAAGTAACTACCTCTCTGTTTCAGATCGCCCTAGCGAGCTTTTATGAGGATGGAGGGGACGAAGACATTGTGACCATTGCGCAGGCAGCCCCCAGTTCGTTACCCAGAGGCACAGGCCCCAGGTAAGGACTAGCTTCAAGAACTGCTACATGGGTGTGCTCCCAGCAGTGATGAGCTGTTTCCTAACTTGACAGATGGTTCAGGCTGATATGGACCAGTGGGTTTCAGTGACAAAGTTAGACTCACTGGTGGGTCCTAGTTCTTTGTCCAGAAGGAAACTGGTGGCATTCTCAGAAGCCAGGTTTGTGCTGGCACCTTAGAGGAACTCTGTGTGGAGCCTGCCTTCCCCCAGTGCAACCCTGTTTGACCTCCCTGTTCCTCCTGTAGAGAGATGCAGAACACTCTCCGGGGGGGGCTCTCAGTGAGTGTGGCTTATGATCGTCCTGGAGGAAACCACAGAACCTCCTTTTAAGATGTTTGAGGGTCTTTACTTATGAAAGTGAGGAGTGGCCTCCATCTCTGAGGTTTCAGTAGAAACCGAAGGACTTCCTTCCAGGGGTGCTCAGATGTACAAGATTAGACTTTTGTTGTGGTTTGGGATTATTTGTTTGTTGACATTTTAGGATGCCCATTACCCTATTAAGAAGTCTTAGAGCCCAGCTGGCATGGCTCAGTGGGGTGACCCAGAAGGTCACGGTTTGATTCCCAGTCAGGGCACATGCTCGGATTATAGGCTCAATCCCAGGTGTGAGGTGTGCAGGAGGCAGCTGATCAGTGATTCTGTCTCCTCATTGATGTTTCTATTTCTCCCTTCCTTCTCCTCTGAAGTCAATAAGAATATATTTAAGGAAAAAAAGTCTTATAGAAAACAAATGTATTTGGGTTTGACTTCAATCCTGGAATATAGATACAGTGTTTCTTTACCAGTGAGTTGCTAATTGTGTTTCTGAGCCTTAAATTACACGTCCCTTTATTTATTTGTTTGTTTATTTTTGGTTAATCCTCACTTGATATTTTTTCAATTAATTTTCCAAGAGAGAGGGAGAGAAAAACATAGATGTGAGAGACACATATCAGTTGGTTGCCTCCTGCATGCACCCTAATTGTGGCTGGGAATGAGCCTGAAACTAACCCAGATATGAACCCTTTACTGGGATTGAACCTTTAACCTTTTAGTGCTTGGGCTGATGCTTTAACCATTGAGCAACACTAGCCAAGGCACATTTTTTCCCTTGAACGCTAACCCCAGATCTCATTGCTTGCTTAACTTTTTTCCCTACTTCCCATTTCCAGAGGAAAGAGGTTGTAGACAACAGATCTTTTCATTATTCATAGGTGCTACCCTGTGAGATGGCCTTAATGGCACATCGGGTTGTTACTGCCTGGAACATGGTTATAGGTTAAGGGCTCTTGCAGCTGCTGGTATAAATAGCTGATCTCCTGGGGTGTGAGTCTTTCATAGCCACCCCAGATTTCTGTTGGGGTGTTGGCATGTCAGAGATATATAACAGGAGAAGTTGAAATTTAGCCTGTGATGTCAGTCATGTATTCACACCTCTCTTCTCTAGTAATCCCAAAGTCCTATTAAGGGAGTGCTTAAGAGATCTGTGATCTTGGGCAGGTTACTTAACATCTCAGTCCCTCAGTTTTTCTCACTTGTCAAATGGGAATGGGAATAGTCCCTACCAAATAGGACAGTGGTCAACAAACTCATTAGTCAACAGAGCCAAATATCAACAGTACAATGGTTGAAATTTCTTTTGAGAGCCAAATTTTTTAAACTTAAACTTCTAATGCCATTTCTTCAAAATAGACTCGCCCAGGCCGTGGTATTTTGTGGAAGAGCCACACTCAAGGGGCCAAAGAGCTGCATGTGGCTCCCGAGCTGCAGTTTGCCGACCACTGAAATAGGAGAGTAAATGATACATACAAAGCACTTTGAACACAAAGAGCTATTATCATTTTATTATTACAGGCATCCGTTCTCACCTTCCCCATTTTTTCTTTGTTTCTTGTCATTTCACAGCAAGTATACATATTTAGAAGTAGATATAAAGTAAAAAAATCAAGGAAAAGGAGAGTTTAATGTTAAGACTGAGGGCAGTAAAAGGCTGAATACATGCAGACTCAAAGGCCTTATTTTATTGCATTGGCTAACCCTCAGACGTGGCATTGCGGGAAAGGAAGGGCAATTTGTTGCATTGTTGTCCTTGTCCAGAAGGAAAACACTGACTACATTCGTCGAGCTTGTGCTACACCTCAAAGGAATTCTGTGTGTGGCCTGCTTCTTCCCACCCTCACTCCTGTTTGACTTGACTGTTGCAGGACACTAAACCTCCTCTGGGCTCTCCCGATGCTCCCCTCTCTTTCATCTCAGATATCTTTCATGTCGCGCTGCTATGAATGACAATCATGACAATTAGTAAGTTACTCCTTTGACTCGACTCAGCAAGGTTCTTTTTTTTTTTTAATTGATTTTTCACAAAGGAAGGTAGAGGGATAGAGAGCTAAAAACATTGATGAGAGAGAAACATCGACCAGCTGCCTCCTGTACATCCTCCGCCAGGGATGTGCCCGCAACCAATGTATATGCTCTTGACCGGAATCGAACCCTGTACCCTTCAGTCCGCAGGCCGATGCTCTATCCACTGAGCCAAACCGGTTTCGGCTCAGCAAGGTTCTTAGGAGGGAGGCTCTGAACTCTTTGGATAAATCCTTGGAATTAATGTGAGAAGGTTCATAAATTACCTGAGATTGTAGGCAGAAATTTGTAGTATTTTTCTGGCAAGGAAATCCATAGCATTTATCAGATTCTCAAAGGTCATCAGGACATAAAGGTTAGTCATTGCTACAGGAGAAAAATCTAAATTCCTTCATAGTAACAGTCACCATTATTCAGCACTTACCAAGTACCAGGGACTGGATTAAGTATTTTTTTTTTAATTTTTAATTTTTATTAAGTCTTTATGTTTATCTCTCTTTAGGCCTCTCTACAACTCTATGAGGTGGATACTGTTGTTACTTTCATTTTACAGATTCCAAGATCACACAGCTAGTAAAACAAGGATCTATGTACAGCATTCTGGTTCCAGCATTCAGCTGAATTATATCCTGCCTCTCCTTGTGAACTTTCAGGGTCCTCCAGAGTGCAGTGAACTTGCCATCCTAATCATAACCCCCCTTTTCTCATTTACCTCACTGATTTCTTGGTGTCTTGTTTTTGGTTCTTCTGCTTTTGTTTGATCCTCTTATCTGATGGGGCATGCCTGTTCTTGCTTTCTGCCTATCCAGATCTCCTGCTTCTTTCCGGGTTTAACTCCATTCCCACCTCCCCTATTGAGCATGTTAACCCATAGGCAGGACACTACAACCCTGTTCCTCAGTACTCCAATCACAACTGTAATTCACTTATTTGATGCCCATCCTTTTTCTGCTCAGTAACATCACCACTGTGCTTTCGTGAACTCTTCTCCTGACATTTAACTTCATTTTTTATCACTAAGTAAATTATAATTACCAAGAAGTGGTAGGGGCTAGTATTTCAGGAGCACCCACATCTGTGTAGCTCTGTCAGATATCCTCACTTACGTTCTCATAGCTCAACTAGAGGCCTGGTGCATGAAATTTATGCACGGGTGTGGTCCCTACGCCTGGCCGGATTTAGAAGCGAGAGTGTCTGTCGTGGAAGGGCAGGACCCAGCTGACCTTTGGGCCCTGGGCAGCACCTGGGCCCCGGGCAGCACCTGGGCCCCTGGGGGCCCCTGTCCCCCTCCACCTGAGTCATCAGGCCCCCACATGGCTCCCTCAGCACCTGGGAACCGGGTGGCAGCTCTGACTCCTGTTGCCACCACTGATAGGGCAATTGGGCACTCCTGAAATACTAGCTGCCTTGACCTGGCACCACCTGCTCAATTGCTCTATCATCCTGCCACAGTCCTGCCCTCGTTGGGGCAGGCAGCACCTCCACTGCCACTTGATGCCAGCGCTACTTCGCCAACACCTGCCATGTTCTGCTCTGCCCCCTGGTGGTCAGCACACATCATAGCGAGCAATCAAACTCCTGGTAGAGGGAACAATTTGCATATTATGCTTTTATTATATAGGATAGCTGTGGAAGTAGGTAAGGTGCTCACCATTTCACAGGTCAAGATGCTGAGCCTTAGAAAGGTTAAGTAACTCATAGTTGCTTTTATGTCAGATTCAAGCCCAAGTCTGTCGAACTCCAGAGTTACTTTTACTTACCATTTAGCACCTCCCACCCCTGTACTTAGCCGAGGGTCAACAAAGAGGTAGTAGTTTTTTGTTTTTTTCTTCCATCTAACAAAACTATACTTTTTGAGAATTTCAGGGACTACCATTGTCTGATCTAAAACTATACTGTCCATTATAGTAGCCACTAGCCTCGTGTGTTTTTTTAAATTAAGTATTTGTACTTAACCACATTCAAATGCTCAGTAGCCACATGTGACTAGTGGTTCCATATTTGATAATCCACACTGCAGAAAATGTGATCTGACAAAGGACATTTATGCCACTTTAGGGTTCCAGAGTAGCCTGAGAAATAGAGTTTTGATGTTGAAAAATTGAGATTTCTGAGACATTTTGCCAACTTGTGGAGGACAAAGACAAAATATTCTGAAATTGGCAGTGTCCTCAAGACATCCATACCATTAAGGTAACTCTCAGAAGTGTTTCTCAAATAGTCAGTCTCTCTCCCCCCCACCACCCACCTCTGGTTTTTATCACATTATTGTGTATGTCCATGGACTATGGGCATGAATGATTTTAAGGCAGTTGTTGAACAGGCCCCTAGATCATAAGCAAGGCTTGGAGATCCCGTACAGTCCATTGAGCAATGAAACTATTAAATATTTCATTTGTGGGGCCTGAGGATTTGCAAACTGTGAGAAATCCAAATCCTCAGGCCCCACTTTAGACCTCTATATTCAGGGTTTATTTTTGTTTTTATTGGTTAAAATGGTTGCTGGTCGCCTCCCGCCCCTGAGAGCTCCTGGGCTGTGAGAGAGGGCAGGCTGGGCTAAGGAACTCCCCCTTCCAGTGCAAGAATTTTCATGTACCTGTACCAGGCCTCTAGTCTTACATAATAATAGACAAACATGTAAATTAACCATACCTCTGCCACACCCACAGCCAATCAGAGTGAGTGTGTAAATTAGAAGGCCAAAGATGGCCGATACCCAGCTGCTCCAGGTGTAGAGTGGCCAGGCGGGGCAGGACGCCTGCTATTCGAGGGAGAACGGAGGGAGGGTGGGGGGGAGTGTGGGGTTGAAGGGACCTACAGGAGCAGAGTGCCGCAGCAAAGATGAAGATGGCAGACTGGCCAGAGTGAAGGCCTGGGTCCAGGGTCCCGGGTGAAAGCCAGTGCTGGAAGCCAAGGGAAGGAAGGCCTATTGCATGAATTTCTTTGTGCAGTGGGCCTCTAGTGTTTTTATAAAATGAATGTCTTGTGATCCTTGAAAAACTAAGATGGTTCTTCGCAGACAAATCTAAACTAGAAAAAAAGTGGCAGTGTAAGACAACGTCAGAGGAGGAAATTAATCCTCCACACACTCATTTTTTGTGTGCCTCTAAACTACACCACAGGCAACTCTGCTTTTTTTCTAAATATTGAAAATACTTTTAAAATTTTTTTTTATTGATTTCAGAGAGAAAGGGAGAGGATGAGAGAGAGAGAAACATTAATGATGAGAGGATCATTGATTGGCTGCCTCCTGCATGCCCCCAACCGGGGATCGAGCCCACAACCCGGGCATGTGCCCTCAACCGGAATTGAACCTGGGACCCTTCAGTCTATAGGCCGACACTCTATCCACTGAGCCAAACTGGCTAGGGTCATTAGTAATTTTTTAATATATTTTATTGATTTTTTTACAGGGAGGAAGAGAGAGGGATAGAGAGTTAGAAACATCAATTAGAGAGAATCATCCACCAGCTGCCTCTTGCACAACCTCTACTGGGGATGCGCCCGCAACCAAGGTACATGCCCTTGACCGGAATCGAACCCGGGACATTTCAGTCTGCAGGCTGACGCTCTGTCCACTGAGCCAAACCAGTTTCGGCCATTAGTAAATTTTTTAAATAGTGCAGACTCCCATCCTGTTTCTCTCCCCCTTTCTAAACTTATTATCAATCCTGTGTCACCTTGAAGAAATAAATGCCACATTATTTTATATATAAACTTGGAGAGATTAACTGTTTTCTACAAAAATCCTCTTCCTATCCACCAAAAAATCTAACCCCAGTGTCCTCAACTCCTTAACAGCTGGTGATGGGGGTTACCTTTCATGAACTTCCCTGAGATAATTTTGTTGTTTTCTGCATCTCTAGCGATAACAGGGTAACATCCTTCAAAGACCTCATTCATGACCAAGATGATGATGAGGAAGAGGAAGAAGGCCAGAGGTGAGTCTTTGATGGGGGAACACAATTCACAGAAAAGTTCGTGCTAATGTATAAATCATGGTAAGGTGTAAATCATGTAGAAGGATAAACGTGTTTGGTTATCATTAGCTATTGTTACCGTGGACTAGTCACACACATAGTAGAAACAGTCTCCCCCTCCTCCCAGAGATAACTTAGAAGTAATCCCTATCCCCTGTTACTGCTGCTTTTATTTTGGTATATTCGGGGTTTATTTTTGTTTTTAATGGTTAAAATATTTACTTGTTGAAGAAAATTATGAGAAGGGAAATAAATCAATAAGAAAGAAAAAAGTATCTTATGATACCACAACCTAGAGGTAACCAGGTATCAGTATTTTTTGGTGTATTTCTTTCCAGCGTTTTCTTTTTAATTAAAGCAATACATCCAGCCCTGACAGGTGTGGCTCAAGTGAGCATCTTTCTGTGCACCAAAAGGCTGCTGGTCTGATTCCTGGTCAGGACACATGGCTAGATTGCTGACTCGATCCCCACTATGGGGTATGCAGGAGGCAGCTGATTGATGTTCTGCTTTCACATTGTTGTTTCTCTTCCTTCTTCTTCCTCTAAAAAAATCAGTTAAAAAAAAAACACATTAAAAAAAAAAAAAAAAGTCAATACATTATTCCCCAGTGGCGTGGCTCAGTGCTTGAGCTGCAAACCGGAAGGTCACAGTTCAATTTTCAGTCAGGGCACATGCTCAGTTGTGGGCTCCATTCCCAGTATGGGATGTGTAGGAGGCAGCATCAATTATTCTCTCTCATCATTGATGTTTTTATCTCTCTCTCGCCCTCTCTCTTCCTCTCTGAAATCAATGAAGTAATATTTAAAAGTAAAATAAAATAAAAAGCAATACATCACATAATAAACAATAAAAGGATTATAAATGTATATTTCCCCCACTATATTTTATTGATTTTTTACAGAGAGGAAGAGAGAGGGATAGAGAGTTAGAAACATTGATGAGAAAGAATCATCGATCAGCTGCCTCTTGCACACCCCTACTGGGGATGTGCCAGCAACCAAGGTACATGCCCTTGACCAGAATCGAACCTAGGACCTTTCAGTCTGCAGGCCGATGCTCTATCCACTGAGCCATATTGATTTCGGCTGCTGAGTGCTTTTTGGTGTTTTTTTTTTTTTTTTAATGAATTTACTTTAGTGTTTGTTTTTTAAAATCTTTATTGTTGAAAGTATTGCAGATGTCCCATTTTCCCCCCCATTGACCCCTTCTGAGCAATCCCACCTCCATCCCCCGCCTCCCATCTCTGGTCTTTATCACACTATTGTGTATGTCCTTGGGCTATGGGCTGAATCATTTTAAGGCAGTTGTTGAACAGACCTCTAGTTCATAAGCAAGGCTTGGAGATCCTGTACAGTCCATTGAGCAAAACTTCATCTACCTGAAATGAGCAAAAATGAACTGGCTGCAGCCTCATTTCACGGGTTTTGCTTCTTCGTGGATTCTGCCTTGGTCTCTCAGACATTCCTAAGGAACATTGTGTAATAACCATTATGGAAATGCAATTAGCTTATCATGGTCATTCTTTGGGAAGAGGGCTGAGAAATTGCATATGTTTTATTCTCTGATTTCATCTGAATACACTTTACACTGCCTTCAGCCTTCTTGGATACACTCAAGGTTGAGAAAGAAATGTTAACTTGGGGGTTTTACACTCCTTGAGTGACAGGCAATGTCATCAAGTATGTGACTGCCTAGCTCCTAAATGACCTGTTCTTCCAAACATTGACCCTTTATTTCACCTCCTAATTACTTCCTTGGCTCCTCAGCATTTTAGACCTGATGACTCTGGTGGTAGTGTTCTTGCCAAAGCCTATAGCTTTGCCTTGCAAAATATATATATATAGTTGATATTTTCACAGAGAGGGAGAGGGAGAGAGATAGAAACATCGATTATAGAGAAACATCGATCAGCTGTCTCCTGCACACCTCCTACTGGGGATATGCCCGCAACAAGGTACCTTCCCTTGACCGGAATTGAACCTCGGATCCTTCAGTCCTTAGGCCAACGTTAGGCTATCCACTGAGCCAAACCGGTTAGGGCTGCCTTGCATTTCTTAGGGAATGTCAGGAAATGAAAGGCTGAGACTTATTTTTATAGGTTCTTAATTCCCCCTATCCAGGTAATGCTATTGACTTAGCTGTGAATAGGAGTAATAAGGAGGCAGCTAGCCAGGCTATGTGACTCCTGGTTTTCAGACCCAGGTAAAAAAGTGCTAACTTAATCTCAAGTCATGCTTGGCCCATTGCAACACCCAATGTGGGTGTCTTCAGGCTTGTTTTTGGGCATCCCTGACCTTTTCCAGTACCCTCACCTCAGTGCCCGCAGTATATGTCACAAGATTAGCAAGGTGAGGTAAGGCTTGGGTGAGCTGTTGATGCTGTATCACCCCACCTTACATGTGTGCATTACTTTGTGCTTGTTCTTTTGCATACATCTGCTGATTTGAACCTCATGGCCCTGACTTAAGGAGCCGGTAGGTAGAGCATGTGATTCTTTCCTCTCATTTCAGAGACAAAGAAAATAAGATGCAGGGCAATGCACTGTCTTGCCCAGCGTCACTCAGCAGCAGAGCCAGTACTGGAGTCTCGCTGCCTGTACTGATTATGCCATTGTTACCATTAACACAGAACTGCTAGAGGCAGCTGCTTCTGACTGTGACCATAGTTGCTATGTTCTGGAGAAGTGCTGACCACCGGATGGCCAATTGCCAGTGGGACTCTCCGGAGCTGACTTGCTGTCATGCATGCCTGGAATGCCTTCCCCTTGATTTCTTCGCCTGATAATCTCATCCTCTTACTCAAGACTCAGCTCAGAAGACACCTTTCTTAGGAAGCCTTGACTGTCCTCCCCAGCTCAGTGTTCCTAGAGTATCCCTTATACTGGCCTGTTGCTGCTCAGCCTGCATTGTGCCTGCCTGCCTCCTTACATATGCCCCAACTAGATAGTGAGTTCCTTAAAGATGAGCATAGTACCCTTCTCCTCAGTGTGCCCAGAACCTGGTACATACTGTATTTGTGTTTTCAAGTGCATTTGGTGTTAGATGTGTATTTTCTGCACAGGTTTTATGCCGGAGGCTCAGAGAGAAGTGGACAACAGATTGTTGGCCCTCCCAGGAAGAAAAGTCCCAATGAGCTGGTGGATGATCTATTTAAAGGTGCCAAGGAACATGGAGCTGTAGCTGTGGAGCAAATGACCAGGAGCCCTGGAGAGACCAGTAAACCAAAAGTGAGCATAGAAGGTCATCTCTGTCTACAGGACTCAGGTTCCAGCAAGAGAAGGAGGCCCTCCTCACCGCAGTAGTGACTGAATTTTTGTTTTGTTTTTCATTTGTCGCTTACTCTCATACACAGGAGAGCAGCATGGTTTCTCCCACCCTTTAATATGAAATTAACATTTGGAGCAATGTTTTCAAACTTGTGACCCATAGTTTGGGTTGGGTGCAGAACCTAACCCATTTTTATATGGCCTATCCTATTTGACTTAGTGTTTTGCTTTATTTTGTTTTAATTGAATTAATAGATACTTGTTTTATATAAAATCTGGATTTCTGTCACTTTGGGGAAATCAGAAATTCTACATTTATCCTATACACCCTTTTCTACATTAGGTCTAGTAATAATTAATGTCGTTTTCTAATACTTTTTTTAAATCGAATTTATTTAAACAACACAATAAAATTTAATCAACAATATAGTTGCCGTTGTTTTCTACTACTTGTGCCCAACGCTCAGGAAGCATTTTAATCCCTCTGTTGTAAAATTCTTGTGATTTTGATGCAAAAAATTCGGTCAATGCATTTTTGAGGCATTCTTCATTATTAAATTTTTTTCCAAGAAGGAAGTTTTGCAAAGAACGAAACAAATGGTAATCGGAAGGGGCAATATCAGGAGAATATGCAGGTTGAGGGAGAACTTCCCATTCCAACTGGCGCAGTTTTTCAGCAGTGATTCTTGCAGTATGCGGTCGTGCGATATCGTGGTGAAGAATTACGCCCTTCCGATTAATCAGCGCAGGTTCTTTTTCTCTTAAAGCTTGGGCTTAACCTTTCCAATTGGGCACTATACACTGCACTTGTAATGGTTTGGTTAGATGGTAAAAATTCATAATGAAGAATTCCTTTAAAATTCCACCAAACACACAACATCACTTTTTTCGCATGCAAGTCAGGTTTTGGCGTGGGCTGCGGAGCCTCATTTTTGTCCAACCATTGAGGCCGCCTTTTCAAATTAACATACAGCACCCATTCTTCATCTCCGGTAACAATTTGCTCTAAAAACAGCAAACGGTTTTGACGAGAGAGGAGCGAACTGCAAATTGTGACTCTTTGATTACGGTTGTTGTCGGTCAACTCATGAGGAACCCATTTTCCAAACTTTTGGACTTTGCCAAGTGCACGCAATCGATTGGAAATTGTTTTTTGTGAACAATTTAAAGTTGTCGCAAGCTCTTGTTGGGTAATTTGAGGATTTTGCACCAAAAGAGCTTGAAGAGCTTATTGATCAAAATTGGACACACGGCCTCGACCACTCTTGTCATCTAACGAAAAATTTCCCTCGCGAAATTTCTCAAACCAACGCTGGCATTTTCTGGCGCTAACTGCATCTTGAGCAAGAGCACTACAGATGTTTTTTGCAGCCTCACTTGCTTTTCTTCCTAATTGGAACTCGTAAAGCATGCAGTGCCGAATATGCTCTTCATCCGCCATCTTCTTAGCCCTAGTTTTGCAACAAAAACCAAACCAAACACAAACTTTTTCAAGCAAAACTTGTTAATTGCACTTCACACGTTCTGTAGATACCACGTGTTTGAAGGTTATGTCAATACAAGTCAACGCCAAGCAAGATTTTAAACGAATGTTTAAAACGACATTAATTATTACTAGACCCGATACATGGTGATGATTAACTAGAGCTAGGAGCAACTGTTCTCTTGAGCCAAGCAGCATTCCCCTCTTCCAGTTCTCACCCTAATCCTGACCACTTAATGACCAGGCTGTTAATGGCTCTGCAGTCCACCTGGGCCTATAGCTCTACATTTATGGGAAGTGGATCTAGTAGTTAACGAGCTTTTACTACATCAAGAGAGTATCCCCACCTCTATTGACCCATTCTTCAAGTCTTTATGAATTTTTCTTTTACAGCCATTTGCTGGGGGTGGTTACCGTCTTGGGGCAGCACCAGAGGAAGAGTCTGCTTATGTAGCAGGAGAAAGGAGGCGGCATTCCAGCCACGATGTGAGTGTGCATCTACCTTCCTTAGGGGAAGTTTGTGAACTGTTCTACCGTTTTCCAGAGGGGACTGGTCATGTTGCACATGAACCAGCAGCCCGTGAGAGGGGAGAGACAGTGTCCTTGCTGTGGCCCATGAACAGAGGCTTACCTGAGAATCCAAGGCAGCTTTCATCTGGCTGGGCAGGGGGCTCTGAGAAGGGGTAAGCAGAGGGGATGGACAAAGAAGTCAACTAGCACTCCATGGACCTCAGGCAGAGGGGCAGTATATTCAGGGTTGTCTGGTGAGGTAAGCACAGCTAAAGAATGATCTCCATACCACTAGAAGAGGTGTGAAATGCAACCTAAATTTTTTTTCTTATTATTTTTCAGTTCTCTTGTCCTTGTGCATAAGGGTTTCTCTCCCCCCCTCCTTGTAAGACTAATCATACTATATAAACAATTTTGAGGTTGTTTTAATTTAATATTAATGCCATAAACTTTTTTTAAAGTTCCCTTTCTTTTTAATATATTTTATTGATTTTAGAGAGAAAAGGTGTGAGGGAGAGAGAGATAGAAATATCAATAATGAAAGAGAATCATTGATGGGCTGCATCTGCATGCCTCCTACTGGGGACCGAGCCCACAACCCGGGCTTGTGCCCTTGACACAGAATCTGACTGGGAATCGCACCTGTGACCTCTTGGTGCATGGATTGATACTCAACCATTTAGCCACATCAGCCAGGCTGTCTGTGTTTTAATAATGGCACAATAAAATAGTAAAAACATGCTAACTTGCAGGTTCACAATGGTGTGCTTGCGAGGTTCCTGACAATGTATGGACTACGTCCTCTTGTCACAGGTTCATATAGTGTTGAAGCTCTGGAAGAGTGGATTCAGCCTGGACAATGGTGAACTCAGAAGCTACCAAGACCCATCTAATGCCCAGTTTCTGGAATCAATCCGCAGAGGGTGAGCAGAAAAGTCCTCTTCTGGATTCCAGGTCAGCGAGTGAGATGGGGTGATCTGAATGTTTACTATTTAAGAAGTAAATTTGTAAGCAGATTTAGCACAGTTGAGATACAGATTCACAGATCTGCGCCTAAAACCTTCTGTGTCTTCCCTCTTTGGTTCTTGAGCAGAACCAAGTGACCAAATAAATACAGGTCTCTACCATGCCTTTGAGTAGACAAGAGAAAAGGGGAGGCAAACAGATAGCCATGAGAGTAGCCAGTTTCTGTGGAGGCCCAGTGATTTTCACTGAGAAGTTTATACTATCACTGTCATTCCCATCCTTCTCTGTGGGTCCCAGCATTGCTTTTTCTCCTGCAGGGAGGTGCCAGCAGAGCTCCGGAGGTTAGCTCATGGTGGGCAGGTGAATTTGGACATGGAGGACCATCGAGATGAGGACTTTGTGAAGCCCAAAGGAGCCTTCAAAGCCTTCACTGGCGAGGGTCAGAAACTGGGCAGGTAAGGAGCAGCACAGGTAGGAGCGGAACTGCTGTTAGGTTCAACATTTCCTGCGTATTGCTCACTTTATATAAGTCTTCACTCTTTATTAAGTATTTCACATTTTATTTTTATGGGAGGAAAATTATGGAGAATGTGAACTTTGATGTTAATAGACCTGAGTTTAAATCTTCATTTCCTAGCCACGTGACCTTGGACTGTATAGCCTCAGTTTTCCCACTTATAAAATAGGACTGATAGTAGTCATTATCTCTTTGATATTGTTTTGAGGAGCACATAGCACTGTTCCACAATGAGTATTGTTCCACAATAAGGGTAACACATTGCTGGTTTGACTAAGTAATTTAGAGTGTGAAGCCTTGTGGCTTAAGGCTGAAACAGACAAATATACTTAGGTCAGCTGAAATGGGGATTTAGGGGGAATAAGGAATCTTGGTCTCTTCCCTCCCAGCAAGCCCTGCAGCAGCATGTTCAGGATCCAAAAAAGCTCAAATATACTGTTGACCAGTGCAGGATACTGGTCAACCATTATGTTAGCTCTTATCTCTTACTTCTGTGCTCCTTCCTGACACTCACTCTGCCACTTCCTGTGACTTTTCTGCTTGTGTCCTCTGGCATGGCCTCCATCTTGCATTCAGACCCCTGATGGGAACTGGTTAATTGATAAGCACTGTTACCTGATAGGCAGAGTTCTCCCACCAGACCCTTGACGACCCTATATGCAGGCTACCTCTCTCGGGTCCCATTCACTTTTGGCAATGGTCATGGGGTCACTTGACCATTATTCTTCAGAGGGAATTGAGTACACATGAGAGGCACTTGGAGCATAGTCCTTGCTTTACAAAGAGAAAACTGAGGCTCTTGGACTTTAGGGTTACTACCCTTGGGTATATGATTGGTATGTGTTGGAGCCAGAACCCAGGCCTTCTAATTGGCATTCCTTCCCACAGTCCTGCCTAACAAGATATCCTCTCTGTCTTAGATCTGGCAGCTCTTCCATTGCCCTTGCTCTTCTCACCCTCATCTGCAGGGATCAGAGTGTGGTCTATCAACAGCTGTGCTTTTTGAGCTGCTGGCTGGCCCTCCTAGGATCCCCTACCTCCTTGTTGGCCAGCATGCCTCATCAGAGGCAAGGGTCATAGCTCAGGGCATTAGAGACCAACAGATTATAATTTACCAGAACCAACATAGTTAAGTCCACCTGCTTCATCATTTCACCTACCACATTGGGGTTGTGGATTAGTTCAGGACAACTATTCTCAAAGTAGTCCATTTGTAGCTTTCCTGTTAGCTATGGTAAGCTTTGTAGAGCATCAGATAATTTTTTCTTTTATTTTTATTAAAATGAAATGTTTTCTTTTTTTAAAAAAAAAAACTAGAAAATAAAAACTATTCCTAAATCTAATTACCAGATATATTCAGTCAGTATCTTGGTGGTTTTATGTATATTATAGTGTGTGTGTAAACATGCTCTTTTAGCTCCTGCTATTTTGCCTAATCCATATAGTTTTGCTGTCATTTCATATCAGCAGAAGTATTTCTATAACTTTATTTTTTAAATATATTTTATTGATTTTTTTACAAAGAGGAAGAGAGAGGGATAGAGAGTTAGAAACATCGATCAGCTGCCTCTTGCACACCCCCTACTGGGGATGTGCCCGCAACCAGGGTACATGCCCTTTACTGGAATCGAACCTGGGACCTGTCAGTCCACAGGCTGACGCTCTATCCATTGAGTCAAACCGGTTTCGGCTATAACTTTATTTCTAATGTTAATATAATTTTCTGTCCCATGTATGTGCTATAATTGAACCAGTCTTTGCTGTTAAATATTTAGGCAGCTGCCACTACCTGGTTTCCCTGAAAATAAGACAGCCTCCGAAAATAAGACCTAGCGCATGGAAAGATAAGGCATCCCCTAGCACAACTTTGGGAGAAAAAATTAATATAAGACATTGTCTTATTTTTGGGGAAACGGTATTATGAACAACATTGTAGTGAATATCTCTAATTAAATCTTTGTATACCCCTTAATCATAGACTAGGAGTAAAATTGCTGGCTCCAAAGGTCTTTACATTTTTAAATTGTCAAATTGACCTCCAAAAAAAGGATTTATCAGTTTTTTAACCACTAGCAATTCTAGAGAAAGGCTCAGAACACCATGAAATTTGGGAATTGTTCAGTTTCATAATACTAACAGGAAATGCTTTTATTAGAAGATCCAACAATATTATGTGTACAAGACTCCACATCTCAAAAAATGAAAATATTTTTAAGGAAGTCTATTTTAGCCAGATGGGAATACATACTTTATTAGTGTGGAGGATGAACCCACAGATGGAGACAGAGTGTGATAATCAGGTGTGGTGTTTGTCAGCTAAATAAATATTCATTGCCAGTTCCACTTTCATTTTATTTTAGTTCTGGTGTGTTATTGGTTTTTTTAATTTGTTCTTACTGATTTTTGTTTGTTTGTTTTTTAAGGGAGAGAGAAAAAACATTGATGTGAGAGCAAATTATCAATCAGTTGGCTGCCTCTGGCACGCAACCTATTGAGAATAGAGCCCACAAGCATGTGTCCTGATGGGTTTCAAACTGGCAACCTTTTGCCCTAGCCCAATGGTCGGCAAATTCATTAGTCAATAGAGCGGCAAACTGGGGCTCGAGAGTTTATCCACTCGCCGGTTTGGCTCAGTGGATAAAGCGTTGGCCTGTGGACTGAAGAGTCCTGGGTTCGATTTCAGTCAGGGGCACATGCCTGGGTTGTGTCCTCGATCCCCAGTGTGGGTATGCAGAAGGTAGTGAATCAATGGTTCTTTCTCATCATTGATGTTTCTATCTCTTCCTCTCCCTTCCTCTCTGAAATCAATACAAATATCTCAATTACTTTACAAAAACAAACAGGCAGTCCTTTGGTGCATAGAACAATGCTCAACCAACTGAGCCACACTGGCTAGGGCTTTTAAAAAGTTTTATATAGTTAAGTGAGATGGGATTTTAGTTTTTTAGTCTAAACCAGGTGGATAACCTTTTGGGTTTGTTTTTTGTTGTTCCATTTTGTGGGGTGTGTGTGTGTGTGTGTGTGTGTGTGTGTGTTTTAGTTTTTTCCATAAATTTTACTGTTTTCCATTGTCATCTTGTCAACTAAAATGATCTGGAACCAAAAGTTTTAAAAAAAAATTTCTCAAATTTGCTTCAAAAGTCAGTCCTGAGCGTTTTTTTCTTCTTCTTCTTTTTTTTTTTTTTCTCCAGTAATCTGGAAAAATACTTTGAAGTGAATGAATAGGTTGTTCTCAGTTGAAAAATTTCTTTCAGTTACATTACACTTATTGTTTTAGCTGTTGCAGTTGTTTGCATGGGAACTAATTTGAAGATTTGGATAAGACTGCATTTATTTGAGTTTGAGTAACAAACACCAGGAGTTGCACTTGGGTGGGCCTGGGTCACTACAGTGTGGGGATGATCGCCCTGCTTTGTAGTAGTCAATTTTGATGGCAGGGTCTCAGAACTTATAATTGTGGAAACAAAGCATCTTAGTGTCCACTTTATTTTCACTACAAAGGAAATGAGCAGACAGGTGATTTAAACTCTTAATCTGAGTAAGACTCAATTTTCCTGTGATTCATGTGATATTTTCAGGGAGACAGTAAAGAAACTACTTTTTTAATAGATGTCTGATCTGATCTGACCATTCCTGCCTCTGGATGTAGTACCCTCACTGCTACAGATGGCCCAGCCACTGCTGGAGAGGAATGACCCAGATGATAACAGTTCTCAAGCACCAGACACGGCTGGGCATCCCTTGAACAGATGCACGTGGCTGTCCTACGATGATTAGAACAATATAGATCTAATGTTCTTTGAATGTATTGCTTCAAATTAGAACCGCAAGGCCAGTATTGAGGTTTCTCCTCCACTCCCTACCTCTCAGCATAGGCTGCAGTGCCTCTGGTGGCCTTCCATTTACAGCCTATGGGTAGACAGTTGCATCTCTGAGTGATCTGGGTCCATCATTTAGGCCACATGTGTCAAACACAAGGCCCGCGGGCCAAATCCGTCCCGCCAGGCCTTGCAATGTGGCCCGCAGCGCGCTGTCATCACTGCACTCCGCTGCGTTTCCATCACAATGACAGTTTATGACTGTTCAGTAAACCATTCGGCCCGCGATTTAGGCTGGATTTTAGATTTTGGCCCCTTCTCTGATTGAGTTCGACACCACTAATTTAGGCAAACGTAAGTGGAAGAGGACTTGAAGAATGATAGCAATCAGCTATTTGAGTATTTTCCTACAGTTAACTAAGGACTATATTAAATACCGTATTTTTCGGACCATAAGACGCTCCGGACCATAAGACGCACCAGTTTTTAGAGAAGGGAAATGAAGAAAAAAAGATTCTGAAACAAATAGTGTCCTAAAATATTTTATGTGCATTAAAACCCAACATCACAGTCATAAACACATGTAATCAACCCTGTAAAGTAAACAGCAGCATTTAGAACCATTTTAGAGCCGGGCAAGCACACAGAGACCACACAGAGCCGGGCAAGTAAAAAAACTTTTTTTTTAAAGTATATGTGTAGGCTATATTTGGACCATAAGACGCAGGGACTTTCCCCCCCCACTTCTGGGGGGAAAAAAGTGCATCTTATGGTCCGAAAAATACGGTATTTCATATGTATTATGGCCTTTAATCCTGTTTTGATCCACATCCTACAAATGAGGATTCTGAGGCTTTTTTTTTTTCTTGTTATTGAGTTTATTGGGGTGACACTGGTTTACAAAATTATACAGGTTTTAGGTGCATAATTCTACAACATGTTAATGTAAAAACATTCAAACCTGTAAGAATTTTTGTGAGTTTATTTTAGGCAAACTGTCGACAATTGCCAGGAAGCAGTATCTCAATGGATTGGGATAATGCTCCAGAGCACATGTGTCAAACACAACGTCCGCGGGCCAAATCCGTCCCGCCAGGCCTTGCAATGTGGCCCGCAGCGCGCTGTCATCACTGCACTCCGCTGCGTTTCCATCACAATGACAGTTTATGACTGTTCAGTAAACCATTCGGCCCGCGATTTAGGCTGGATTTAAGATTTTGGCCCCTTCTCTGATTGAGTTCGACACCCCTACTCCAGAGCAGTTTCCCAAACTTCTCTCATGATGAGAATAACCTGGTGGAGTTGTTAAACTACAGATTCCTGAATCCCAAATAAGAAGTGCTAAACTAGAATTTTTGGGAACATATAGGTAAAACTGTATAAATTATATACTTAAAATTTTACCTATATGTTCCCAAAAATTCTAGTTTAGTACTTTTAAAAAATATATATATTTTATTGATTTTTCACAGAAAGGGAGAGGGACAGAGAGCTAGAAACAGAATCATCGATCAGCTGCCTTCTGCACACCCCCCACCTAGGATGTGCCCGCAACCAAGGCACATGCCCCTGACCGGAGTCGAACCCGGGACCTTCCAGTCCGCAGGCCGATGCTCTATCCACTGAGCAAAACCGGTTTCGGCAGTTTAGCACTTCTTAGTTGGGATTCAGGAATCTGTAGTTTAACAACAACACCAGATGATTCTCATCATGAGAGAAGTTTGGGAAACACTGCTCCAGAGAATGGTAGTCTTTCATCTATTTTTATACATTTCAATCAAAGAAGGAGACAGGTGGGTTACATGAAATCTATTGGTGATAGAGGAGAGGTAGGAGAAAGCAAAGTGGGGAAACCTCGAAGTGGATAAAAAGCAAAGTGATAGACACACACTTAAGTGGATGCAGGACAGTTAAAGGAATTTGTGGCGTCCGTCCTGGCATCCAGACACATTAGGTTGTGCCCCAAAGGGCCCAGAAAAAGGGAAGTTACAAGTTACCCAGATGTTTCAAGAATGTGTTATAATAGATGCAAAAAGTTATGCTTAGTTAAGGTAAAGGTTGACCTTGTCAATGAAGATACCGGCCTAGGAGGTGACTACCCCCCAACTGCTTTTAGTTAAAGTTTAAATTCAGACCATCCTTTGTGGTTACTTAGGTCTTTGATTTTGCTAGACTGCCACGCAGGCCTTCCCTGAGCTTGGCAGGTTAGCATGTGGCCCCATTCGTCAACGAACACATAATCTATACACTTATTTTGTGTTTGCCACTCCAAAGTGGTAAAAGTCTGTCCATCACCATTTATACTTCACCCTTCTCTACCTTTCCTAACTCCCTCTCCCCTTTGCAATCACTACACTGCTGTCTGCATCTGAGTTGTTTTTTTTTCTCTCTTTTTTTCTGTTTTGTGAAATTCTCTGTCCATGAGTCAAGTCACACCCAAGACCAGTGCAGAGCTGGGTTCCCTCCGTACTGCATTTTACCCTGGAATATATATATTCCAGACAGGAAAGGAAAAAGAGAGAGATAGAAACATCAATGATGATAGAGAATCATTGGTTGGCTGCCTCCTGCATGACCCCAATTGGGGATCGAGCCCACAACCCATGCATGTGCCTTTGACCAGAATTGAACCTGGGACCTTTTAGTCCATAGGGAAATGCTTTATCCATGAGCCAAACCAGCTAGGGCTAACCTGGATGTTCTTCCATAGCCGCATAGACTTTAATATTTGTTTCCATTATATTCTGGGTATGGTGCATTAGTTTTAGCTATTATCTTAGTAATTATGGGAGATTTTGTCTAACTCCCATTTTATTGATGAGGAATTTCATCTTGGGGGTAATGTTTCTGAAATCAAGTCTAGGTCAGTCTGACCCCTAGACCTGGCAGGAGAGTGTGGTAAGTGTTAGAAGCACTGGACCTAGAGCTAGACAGCTTGGATTGTATCCTGGATTCACCTACCCTATTTCCCCGAAAATAAGACAGAGTCTTATATTAATTTTTTCTCCCAAAGTTGTGCTAGGTCTTATTTTCAGGGGATGTCTTATCTTTCCATGCGCTAGGTCTTATTTTCGGAGGATGTCTTATTTTCGGGGAAACACGGTAGAACCAACACTGGAATTTTGGGAGAGTTGCCTAATCCCACTGTGCCTTGATTTCCTCATCTGTGAAGTGTTGGTGATGAATCCCTTCCTCGCACGCTGGTGTGAGGATTAAATGAACTGGTACTTGCAAAGTACTCAGCACAGGGTCCAACTTGGTAATGGGTGCTTCGTAAACATACACTATATTCACCATGCTTCTCTAACCCACCTTATTTTCAGAGTATGCAAGAGAAACAGTCAAGCATGACAAGTCCATGTGTCATGCTTTCTTTGACCTTCAAATGATGAGCACCAGCTCTATGCAAGAGGCTGTGCTAGGAAGAAAGCCAAAAATATCAGTTGCTTTCTTGTATGGAGTGCCCTGTCTTGGGCATTCTGCATACCTTATCTTATCTAATCCTATAGCGCACATGTGTCAAACAAGGCCCGCGGGCCAAATCCGTCCCGCCAGGCCTTGCAATGTGGCCCGCACCGCACTGTCATCACTGCACTCCGCTGCGTTTCCATCACAATGACAGTTTATGACTGTTCAGTAAACCATTCGGCCCGCGATTTAGGCTGGATTTTAGATTTTGGCCCCTTCTCTGATTGAGTTCGACACCCCTACTATAGCAGAACAGTTCCTTGTGCTACACATGGAGAAACTGAAGCCCTGGGAAGTCAAGTGACTTATCCAAGGCCAGTCTTCTTGTTTAATTTAGCAGTAGAGCAGGGACCAGGTGGCCGGTCTTACGCTGTTTCTCCAGCATCACACTGACTCCTGTATAATAATGGCTGCCATTCAGTAGTCTGAAATTCTCTGCAAGAGATCAACAAGTGTAACATGAAAAGGACATGGTGCTAGAATAAGTTTGCCTTAACCGCCCAATCTCTCAAGACTTTAATACGCTAGTGCCCCATGATGCTCAGATGCTCATGGGGCACTAGCGTATTAAAGTCTTGAGAGATAGGTGGCATTTCTGAGACCTTCCTGGAGATATCTCAAGGGACAGGACCCTAGGAAGCACATTTGGGAAATAACTTCCAATTCAATGTGTTAAGAGCACCCTTCTTAGTTTTAAAGATCAGAGGGAAGGGAAAGGTATAGGGACTGATCTGATTGTAGGGGTGTCGAACTCAGAGAAGGGGCCAAAATCTAAAATCCAGCCTAAATCGCGGGCCGAATGGTTTACTGAACAGTCATAAACTGTCATTGTGATGGAAACGCAGCGGAGTGCAGTGATGACAGCGCGGTGCGGGCCACATTGCAAGGCCTGGCGGGACGGATTTGGCCCTCGGGCCTTGTGTTTGACAAATGTGGATTAGAGGCTTTGAGGGGAAACAAGATCTGCAGAGGCCTAGGCCAGGGCATCTGCTAAGAGAAAGGCTGCAAGCAAGATGTATGTTGGTTTACAGGAGAGAGACAAAGATCAGAGAATTGGGAATTGTATGTACTTTTTGTGTTTGTCAGCTACCCTAATAGCTTTATTTGATTCACTCCTTAAATTCCCACAAAACCTGAGCAGGGCTAGTAGCCTTAACCCTTGTTAAAAATCCTTGTTACCATCCTTGTTGAAACTAAGGGAGCTTAAGTAACTTGCTGAACACACCATGGGTAGGGGGTGAATTCCAGCCTCGGTCCATCTTCGAGCTCTAAACACGGCAGCAGACACCGTGTCTTATTCATAAAACATCCCGCACCCACTCCCCTTTCTCATAGTTGGCGCATGAGTATGAAATAGACACATGAGAGGTTTCAGTAAGGAATGCAGGCCTGAAAATTCCATCACAGAGAAAGAGTCTAGACTCATCCCTGTGTCCCATCGGCCACGGCCAGGCTGTGACAATCCTGCCTCCACTGCAGACTTAGAGTGCTTCTCCCCATTCTGCCCTCCACCTCTCATTGAAGCTAAACGCATCCTGATCTGTTGGACCCTCCAAGTTCCCGCCATGGTCTCTCCTACCCCAGGCTGTCTTACATACAGCTTTCATCTCTTTAAGCCCTTATTCATGTGAGCACATCAAGGAAGAGGGGGTTGAATAACTTACCTAATGTTACTAGAGTGAGGGGGAGCTAGCAGTAACTCAGAGTCTGAGGTGAATTCTGCTGGGCCTGTAAGTTCCACGAGGGCAGGCATTCTGTCTCAGTCATTCCTGTTTCAGCAAGACCAACACAATGCCAGGTGCAGCAAATGCTTAGTAAAAGTCTGAGACAGGATCTTCCTCCTGCTTCGGGCCTTGTTTTTGTTAGTATCCTGACATGATCCTCTCTCCTCAGCACTGTACCCCAGGTATTGAATACTGACTTTCCAGCCCAGCAAGCAGAAAATGAAGCCAAAGCCAGCTCTTCTGTCTCAATCGACGAGTCACAGCCTACCACAAACATCCAAATACGGCTTGCTGATGGCGGGAGGCTGGTGCAGAAATTTAATCACAGCCACAGGTACCTTATGTTGTCTGGCCTACCTTATTTTAGGAGGGTCCCAAAGATTCCCACAAAAGGGGGAAGCAGAGGACTGTTTTTTCTTCTAACCTCGGCAGGCACTCCATGCCTTTCGAAAAGGAGGCAGTGGAATGGAAAGCATGCAAGTCTGAAGCCTTTTGCCCCTACTTCCATTAAATGAGGCCAGTGGCTGCTCTCTTGGCCTACTGTGGTTCTCATTCCTTTCCTGTAAAATTAGGGGATTGGATTCCTTAGGGATTTTTCAGCCATCACACTCTTTATTCAAAGGAAATCTCATGCTAAATCCCAAATGTAGAACAGATAAAATTTGAACAGCTGTGCTTAATAGAAAGGAGAGGAGACACAGGACCAGCATCCCACCCATGGCTTTCTCCACCTTCTTCCCACAAGGGGTCTCTGAAAATGACCAGGATGTTAAGATCTCTTTCAGATCTGGCATTTGAGAATTCCAGAACACCTGCTTTACTATCTCAGATCATCTGGCCTGGATCAAAGTAAACTGCCTCCCTCCATTAAGACTCAGAGTGATGAAGTGATTAGCAGGGGAAGATAGAGTCAAAATATTTCACAACTCCTTTTTCTAGACTAGCAGTGTCTAAATGTCATCAATCATAGGCCAGGTGAACCAGAACCCACATGTGGGACTCAATGAATGGCTCGACAATGCTTGAGTGTTGACAAGGCTCACATGTTGGGTGAGCTGTGAAACAGGCCCCAGGAGCACATGGAATCTTTGTTCAAACATTTCTGTTAGTAGGAACTATTCACTGCACTGTCAGGTGCTTTGTGTTTAAGGGAATTAATTCATGTCACTTGTCTGAGTTCTTGGCCTCAGTTTCATGTCGCTCAGTAACTCCAGCTTTTCAGCATGAGTGTTGCTCACTCACCCGGGTGGTCAGCCCATCCCAAGAGTTTACCAGCTGGTTGGGTAGAAGATTCTGCTGGAGGTCTCAGACTATGTCATGGATATCTACGCCCTTAAATGTGCCAGATTGTGAACTGCATAAATTTTAAGTGTTGGAGGTAGAAAGAAGATTCTGTTTAAGCACTCTAGGGAAGAAGGCTGGCTCTTTCAGATCACTTTTCTCATGGTTGGTGACCATGGTGGTTCAGGACACAAGCAGTATCTAGAGTAGGGATTCCTGGAATCACCTTCAGTGATTCTTCTCACTAATCATTTTCACTAAAATGGTGATTTTCTAAGAGACGTAGTATTTGCTGCCCTTATGGAATTCGTGGTCTACAGGGGGAGACAGACCTTAATCCTATCCCAAAATTATTTGATTACAAACTTGATCAGTCCTGTGGAAGCAAGATCAGGGGATGGAGCTTGGGGAGAAGGCTGTTCAAGGAGGCAGCATTTGAGCTGAGGCCTAAGGTTTGGTTAGGATTACAGGGGGGGAAATCAGGCAGAGGAGCTTCTAGAAAGAGGGACCCAAATGTAGGCATGGAACATAGCATGATAAGGAACTGAAAGAAGGGTGGTGTAAAATAGGTCAGGCCTTGGGACCACAGTAAGGAGATGGGCATTTCTCCCAAAGAAAATGGGAGTAACCCTGAAGGGTTTTAGGCAAGGGAGTGACCTGCTCAGGTGGGCTTCCAAAGGAGAGCTTTGGCCACTCCAGAAGATGGGGCCTCGGGAGGGAGCTTGGGGATGCGGTGCATCCTTCTGAAGGGTGGGGTTTGTGGGCAGCAGAGAAGGGCACTGCTCACCCACTTCCCACTCACCCTTGCTCCACCAGGATCAGTGACATCCGACTCTTCATTGTGGACGCCCGGCCGGCCATGGCTGCCACCAGCTTTGTCCTCATGACTACTTTCCCGAACACAGAGCTGGCTGATGAGAACCAGACCCTTAAGGAAGCCAACCTGCTCAACGCCGTCATCGTGCAGCGATTAACATAACCACTTGGCCCTGCCAGGTGGCCTCACCTTCCTCCTGTGTTTCCCATGGCCAGCTGCCCCGTGGAGACTGCCCCTTCCGCCCCCTCTTGAACACCCAGCAGTCCAGTGCCGTCTCCTCCATAGCTCTGGGTTCTTAGATCTCCGTTGGACATTTGTTTTCTCCTTAGTTGCATTTCCTGGGTTTTTGTGACGATCAATGGACTTTAAAGAAAAAAGATAATAAAAACAACTAAAAAAATTGAAGGAATATTGCCAGGATGTTATAGGGAACCTCTCCCACTGAAATAGGCTTTGATTGCTTTAAAATAACTTCTCTCCAGGGCATGTGAGAAGAACCTCTCCTTTCTGCATAAAAATTGCTTGTGGCCCACAATACCCATCTACTTGTGTGTCCACCTGCCTCTCCCATGACGACTAGTGGAGGATTTCCCCCTTTATAAGGAAGGAAGTGGGGGATTTCTAGAAAGAGGATTTGCAGCCACTTACTCCCATAAGAACAAACCTCTTGCCCAGATAAAACCAGGCAGCAGCAAAATTCCCCAGATCTAGAGGCACATGACTCCTTTAGATGAAAATAAATATTCCCTGTGCTCCTTTCACTCAACCTGGGAAGTTGGAACCAGTTGAGATTCTAATTTCACCTGTCTGCCCCGGGCCTTTCCTCCCTCATCATCTGGACCATTGTCACCCTGGTGATTCTCAGCTGCCCTGCCATTGCTTTACTCCACGGGCAGAAGTGTGTACCTAGGGAATAGATGGGATATTTTCTCATTGGGAAACAGTTCATGCCAACCTGAGTTCAGAGTCAGGGTATCTTAGTGAGAAATAATCAAAATATTACTGAGCATCCTAGCCAGTGTATCTCAGCAGTTAAGAGTGTTGGCCTGCACATCGAAGGGTCTCAGATTCAATTCCTGGTTAAGGGTGTGTACCTGGGTTGCAGATTTGATTCCCTGCCCTGTCGGGGTATATGCAGGAGGCAGTCAATCAATGTTTCTGTCTCTTTCCCTTCCTCCTTTCCATTCTCTGAAAAAAGAAATGGGAAAATGTCCTCTGGTGATATATTAATATATATATCGGCTAGCTATTTGATAATGTGTGTAGCAAATCAAATGTTGAAAGGGGAGAGGAGGCCTGTGCTGAGTAAATTTTAAGAGTAAGGGTAATGTCAGTGCCTGGCTTTGGTGTGCAGGTTCCGCCTCACAGTTCTTTGCCCCACTGAATTCAGACTTATAGCAACTTAGGCAGTCTGATAAGTAAGTGCCTTTTTTTGTGTGTGTGCAAGTTTGGGAAAGGAGGGTCACTGGGGTCTTGAAAGCCTTTCCACATCCCAATTAAGTGAACCACATAGTTAGAATCAACACTGACTCAGAATCTCCTGGTTTCGAATCAATATGCCTCAATCCTCTTCCAAGCACTCATCACCAATCCTGCTTCACACCCTGCAACAAGCCAAGAACCAACACTACTTACATTCAGAGCTGGGGAATGGCTTGGATTTCCCCAAGACCCATTCTGAGGAAGGGACACACAGTTTGGTGCTTCTGATCCCAAATTGGCACAGGCCTGTCAGGGCTGCAGCAGCTGCCAGTGTCCTACAGCAGATGGAAACAATGCAGGTCTGGAAAAGCTTTGTAAATTATTGTCACCTTGACCATGCAACCCATGACCGGGAATTGAACAGAATGAGGACAATGGAGTTTGATACTTTATAATGGGTTGCCTTGAAGAAGTGTAATAGCAACCATTGTAAGTCCATCTGTGCCACAAGCATTCCATTTTACAGTGCAAAACCTAAAGCCCAGCTGGTAAGTGGTAAGGTTTGCTTGCTTCCAAACATGCTCTAAATCTTGATGCTCCACATACATACATGCTGTCCCCAACCCGGGCCCTGTATACATTCACTCAACCCCCTCCTACCCTGCTTCAGAGTTTTTTTTTCCCCAAAGATTTTTTTTTATTGAATTTAAAAAAATATATATATTTTATTGATTTTTTTACAGAGAGGAAAGGAGAGGGATAGAGAGCTAGAAACATCGATGAGAGAGAAACATCGACCAGCTGCCTCCCGCACAGCCCCCACTGGGGATGTGCCCGCAACGAAGGTACCAGAATCGAACCTGGGACTTTCCAGTCCTCAGGCCAATACTCTATTCACTGAGCCAAATCAGTTCGGCATGAATTTTTTTTGTTTTAAGAGAGGAAAGAAAAGGAGAGGGAGAGAGTAAAACATCAATCAGCTGTCTCTGACATGCCCCCTACTGGGGATAAAGCTTGCAACCTGGGTATGTACCCTGATCGAATCAAACTGGCAACCTTTTGGTGCACTGGACAATGCCCAACTAACAGCTATACTGCCAGGGCATGCTTTTTTAATTTTTTTAACATCAGAATTTCTGCTTAAGTTTCATTAGTACATACCAGAAGAGATCACAAAAACACCCCTTACAACCTGCATCATCTAGAAAAGCACAGAGTCCTTAGCGATTCCCAGCCTGGAGAAGCGATCTGATGCAGTTGTCACAGTTCTGACCATCCAAGGTTAGAGAACTTGGTCCAGAGGGAAAGGTTCATCCACCCACGGTGGGTTTTGTTTTTGTTTTCTTTTGTTGTTTTGTGTGTATGTGTGTGTGTGTGTGTGTGTGTGTTTTAATATAGGGTACTTAGCAACTGGTTCTGGGGCTTCTGAATGCAGGGCATTCATTCTCAACTGAAGCATTTTGTTAATTGGTAGGAACATTTTGGATCATCCCAAAATTTGGTTGGCAAGTAAGGAACCTCCTGCAGTTAAATAGGCCAGGCCAAGAATATATTGCAATGCATGGGACATGTCCTGATGGAATGACATCCGCAGTGAAAAGGCAAATTAGTTAGGAGGATGCCCTTCCTAACAAGTTCAGCTTAAACTGCTCTCTACTGTGGGGCAAACATGGTGTTTCTGTTTGGTCTTGTAAACCACACCATGCCCAACAACCTTGTAGGTACAGTTTGGGGCACATCTGGTCGCTTCGTCAGAAGCAGGCATGTGTGGCAAGAGCTGAGCATGTCTTTGTGGCTTTGGACAGCATTGCCAAAATGTCTTTCAAAGCAGCAATGCCCTTTTCTGTGCCCACCAGCACTGCAAAATATGCTGGTCAACTTCTTCAAGCTGACTGGGCTCATATGTGTCCATGGAAGCAACTGGTGCAGAAGTGTGGGTTCTCTGCTGCCCTCTAGCCCATCCACTAGGATTTCCAGAGGAACTGCTGTCTGGATTTCTCCCTGCCAAAGCCATATTTTTTCTTTAAAATGGATTCTCCCCTCCCTTCCCCATCCCACACCCCTCCTCTCAAATATACACTTTCTTCCAGGTCCATTTTCCTCAGGGCAGGACAGGGAAGCACATTGTTGACTTCAAGTGGACAATCTGGCCCCAGTTGAGCAAGCTTCTGTGCTGTTTGGCTATATCTCTTCTCACCCCACATCCAGTCCATGAGCAAATTCTCAAGGTTCTGCTGCAGATGCATCCCAAATCCAGCCACTCACCCTTCCTATCCTGCAATCTCCCACGTCCAGCCTCCATCATCTCTCACATGGACAACTGCAGTGACCTGGCCCACTACTAGCTCCATTTGCCCTGCTTTATTTCCCTTATTCTGTCTCCATGTGATGCATTATATACTCTCTCTGTGTTCATTTCCTGTGTCCCTCCACTGGGTTATAAGCTCCATGACTCGAAGCACTTGGCACAGTGCCTGATATATCTTAGGTCTTCAACAAAAGACTGGTTGTATGAACTTGTGAAATGGAGATAAGATTTCCCTGTCTAAAGGGCGAAGGTGATGATGCTTCAAGTGTCCCTTGAAATAGTGCTTATGTAACTGCAGTCCTTCCCTCTCTCCCGAAGTAGGTTCTCATTCAGCCACAGGGGGCATCGTTCTAAAGGGCACCTGTAGCTGCCAGTAAAGGCATCCAGGTTCTTCCAGCAAAGACACTAAGAAGGTGGAACTAAGCCGAAACCGGTTTGGCTCAGTGGTGGAGCATCAATCTGTGGACTGAAAGGTCCCGGGTTCAATTCCGGTCAGGGGCATGTACCTTGGTTGCGGGCACATCCCTGGTAGAGGGTGTGCAAGAGGCAGCTGGTCGATGTTTCTCTCATTGACGTTTCTAGCTCTCTAGCTCTCTCCCTTCCTCTCTCTAAAACACATGTGTCAAACACAAGGCCCGCGGGCCAAATCCGTCCCGCCAGGCCTTGCAATGTGGCCCGCACCGCGCTGTCATCACTGCACTCCGCTGCGTTTCCATCACAATGACAGTTTATGACTGTTCAGTAAACCATTCGGCCCGCGATTTAGGCTGGATTTTAGATTTTGGCCCCTTCTCTGATTGAGTTCGACACCCCTACTCTAAAAAATCAATAAAATATATTTAAAAAAAAAAAAAAAAAAAGGAGGTGGAACTAAAACAGATATGGCCCTAGCCGATTTGGCTCAGAGGATAGAGTGTCAGCCTGCACACCAGAGGGTCCCAGGTTTGATCCCGTCAAGGGCACATACCTTGGTTGCAGTTTCTCCCCAGCCCAAACCCAACTGGGCCCTTGCAATCAATGTGTTTCTCTCAGATGTTTCTGTCTTTCCCCTCTCTCTTCCACTCTCCCTAAAAATCAGTGGAAAAATATCCTCGATTGAGGATTATCAACAACAAAAACCCACAAAAAGGCAGATATGAATGTGGAGTGGGAGAGCAAGATGTGCAGGGGCTGCCTCACCACCTTCCCCACCCTGACAGGATTGGACTCAGAAGTTTAAGGGCCAATCACCCTCCATCTAGAGCACCTGAAACTCTCAATGCCAGGACCAGATCTTCAGCCACAACCACTGATAACAGCAGCTGCCATTATCTGAGCACAATTTTGTGCTAGGCTCTATATGTACCTTGCCTTGTGTAGTTTGATAGCAACTCAAAGGTACCATGGCTAGCTTATTATGGGGGAAGACAGGCTCAGAGTAGTGAGGTCACACACCATGTAAAAGGCACAGCCATGATTGGAACCCCCAACTGCCTGAACCCTTGGCTTTAGGAGGAGTTAGGTCAAGAGCTAAGTTATGGTAACCTTTGCCAGGTGGTTTAAATGAGGGCCATAGGGATCTATACCGTAATCAAAGGAAATAAATGATTCACAAAGAAGCTTAATATATGATAGTCTCACTACAAAACCTCAAATACACTCCTTTCTTAAAGAGGGTCAGAGGATCTCATAATAGATGTTTATTTACAAATGGTCACGAAATGCACTTAACTGCGTGCAAAACTACCTGCACTGCCGCCTCCACCATCTCGGCCATCTTCCACCACTTCCTCTCCGTCACCATCACCTTTACCACCATCTGCACAATTACCAGTACCACCACCTGTGTCCACCACCACCATCTCCACAATCTCCACTATCATCTTATGGGACGTTCCAGTCTCACCCACCTGCTCTCTCCCAGCCTCCTATACAAGATACTCATTTTTTGTCTGATTTTTTTTTCTGTTTGTTTGTTTTGAGCACTTTATTACTTTTCATCACAACCAGAAGCTCCAGGCTCATCTTGTATGCTTCCTTTCCCAGTTCTAGAATCAGCCCTGGTTTCTTTACTTTGAGAATTGTATGGGAAACCAAGATCTGGGCACTAGTCAAGTTCATTGCTCTTTGGATATCTTTCTTTTAGGCTATCTTAGCTAACAGTGTAAAGAAATATATGCCTGAATACTAATCCACAATATACACATATCCATAAATATTACTATATGTAACCATCTGTATTAAATTAAACAAGTTCTTAACAGAGGCTTTCTTTTTTTATAATGTGTATTTCATTGCTGAGATTTCTAATTTTTCCTTGTTGCAAGAGATTTGTAATTGATGGCTGTTTTCAAACCCTTGTCCTATAATTCCATTTTTGTTTGTTTTTAAATATATATATTTTGTTGATTTTTTACAGAGAGAAAGGGAGAGGGATAAAGAGTTAGAAACATTGATGGGAGAGAAACATTGATCAGCTGCCTCTTGCACACCCCCTACTGGAGATGTGCCCACAATCAAGGTACATGTCCCTGACTAGAATCAAACCTGGGACCCTTGAGTCTGTAAGCCGACGCTCTCTGTATCCACTGAGCCAAACTAGTCAGGGCCATTTTTATGTTTTTAATTGATTTTTTAGGAGAAGAGAAAGAGAGAGAGATCTGTTGTTCCACTTATTCATACATTCATTGGTTGATTCTTGTATGTGCCCTGACCAAAGATTGAACCTGCAGCCCTGGTGAATCAGTTCGATTCTCCAAGCAACTGAGCTGCCTGGCCAACTAACATCTAACTTATCTCAATGTTGGAGTTAGTTGATTGTGTTCTCATTCAAGTTGTGACTTTTTTTAAAAAAATATATTTTATTGATTTTGTACAGAGAGGAAGGGAGAGAGATAGAGAGTTAGAAACATCGATGAGAGTCATCGATCAGCTGCCTCTTGCACACCCCCTACTGGGGATATATATGCTCGAAACCAAGGTACGTGCCCTTGACCGGAATCAAACCCGGGACCCTTCAGTCCCCAAGCCGACGCTCTATCCATTGAGCCAAACCGGTCTCGGCAAGTTGTGACTTTTTTATTCTTATTTTTATGGGTGATTTTCTCTCTGGGTTCTATTTCAATCCTTTATTTTAGCAGGCAACCACCCTGTTTAGGTTTAGCACACAGCCTACTTTTGTAGGCTTTGGTTCCAATGATTTGCTTGGATTATCTGGTGTTGCAGGGTCTTCCACCGGCCTCTGCTTAAGCTGCCATGAGGGTGGGAGGAGTTTCCCCAGGCCTGGCCACCATGTGTCTCTTGGTGGGGAGGGAAATGTCAGACCTACTGTGGTTGCTTATTGTCCCAGGTTCCCTCCTGCCTGTTCCACCTGCTCACCTTCCCCTGTGTCTCCCTATGGGAAGGAGACTATTACCCCACCCCCACCTCCGGTCCACCATGCTTACTGTTAGTGAGGCTTCCCATCAGCAGTGTTGGGTGCACCTATTGCTGGCAGTGGGGCTCCCATTCAATCTGGAGCTGCCTACCTGGGCCACCTTCTGTTGCTGGGTTGGGGTGAGGAAGTGCCAGGTCCAGGTTCCTTCTTCTGTGGGGTGGAGGAATATAAGAGATACTGCCTCTGTTGCTTTTTCAATCCTGGGCAACTTCCTTTACCACTTGTCATAGTGCTCCTTAGGTTGCCTCTTGGTTTATCATTGTGCTTAACCATGAAGAAAAGTATGTAATGTCATCTTGTCCAACCAAAAGTCCAGTAAGCACATTTTTAACGCTATGGATTTGTGTTGCCAGCTACAATACTTTCTTGAAAGGCCATTCTAGCCATGGCCAGTTTGGCTCAGTGGATAGAGCATCGGCCTGCAAACTAAAGGGTCCTGGGTTTGATTCCGGTCAAGGGCACATGCCTGGGTTGTGGGCTCAATCCCCAATAGGGGGCATGCAGGAGGCAGCCAATCAATGGTTCTTTCATCATTGATATTTCTATTTCTCTCTGAAATCGATAAAAAAAATTTTTTTAAGGCCATTCTAATATATATTGCCTCAAAAGCTGCACGAGGGCCTATTCTCATTTTACAGTGTAAGATCACCTGCCCAATGTCACACAGGAGCACATAGCAGTGCAGAGTCCTGCACAAATCCTGTGTTCTACATCCCCACCTGCTGCTACCACACTCAGCACCACTTCCCAGCGCTCCAGGAAGCTCACAGCCTGGCAAGGACAGCAGACTCAGGCATTAAGCTCTGAGGGGGAATGAAAGTAGAAGGGCACCCAGGCCTGAGAGTGAAGAATCAGTCCAGAGAGGACATCCTTGAGCCTGACAAGATGCTCTGCTCAGAGCCCTGCTCCTGCCCCTTCCAGCCCTCTGTGTTCAAGCACTTCAGGCTCTAGGCCACTGTGAGCACTGCAGATATGGATTCAGATTCCCCAACTGTGGGGACTCCTGCATGTCTCTGCTGATGACTGCCACCAGTCCTCCGGTGGGAAATAGGGGGCAGATCCAGGCATCTGTGACAGCACAGGCACCGCCTGCCCTAGGAGAGCCTGGACACCCAGCCCCACCCCTGGCACAGTGGATCCCACTGGGCAAGCCACTGCCCCTGTTTGTGCTTTAATTTCCTTCCCTGTGAAATGGAGGCACTCATTCTCATCCTTCGGAGAATCCATGTTGTTAATAGGCCAGATAGACTAAGCTCTGTTAAAATGTGAGAGTTGGAAAGCTTTAATAGGATAAAGCAAATCTTGGCTCTCTCTGGCTTAAAATCGTCCAGTGGCTTCCATCACATTTGAACTAAAACCAAGGCCTCATGTAGTAATGGAATTAATACCCTTCACTCCTCATGCTCCTTTACCCTGTTCTTATTTTTCTTCATAGACTCATCACTTAGTGTGTGTGTGTTTCTTTTCAGTCTCTTCCCACAAGCACCATGGAGGCAGGAATAATGTCTTCTTCAGTCCCTGAGCCTAGGACAGCGCACCACAGACTCCTGCCTCCCTGCCCACAGCTCTTCCCACTGTACCACGCACCTCACCCTGGAAACTGTTTCGTGTCCCTCCTATTTCTTCTCTGTGACTGGCTCGTCTCTGGAGGGAAACTGTCCAGTTCTGGTGCCCTGACAACTTTGCACATGTCCACCTAGGCCATGTAGGCAAGGCTTAACCACAGCTGACCTCTGCCTTGATCGAACATCCAAGGATCCTCCTGGAACATGAGGAGTCAGGTGGTCATGAGAGAAGCTGCCACAAGGCCGTTTCTATCCTCATAGGCTCCCCCATTTCTATCCCCCATTTCTGCAGCCATAGGCTCTTTCTCACCTGTCACCCTGATTCTGATGAGCTCGGGGTTCATCCCCTTACCTTCCTTCCAGCTTCAGGCTGTCAAATGGCTTAGCTGCAGCATGGAATTGGGATCCTATTATTCTTGTTTCATGTTACCGAGTCCCTTTTGTTTCAGTATTATCTTGTGGACTAGGGATGCTAACACCATTGCTGATCTTGCTTTTGCTGTCTATGTAAATAATAAACCATTTGGGCTTGATGTATTTCCATCTGCTAACTCTATGACAGAATGACACTCTTATCTAGCAGCTTATGATACTTGGAATTTGTAAGTCTGCCTGACAATATTATTTTCATGTCAGCATTATTGTCCCTCTCAGGAGCATCTGTCGAGCATCCCTCATCCTGGGTTGTGCCACCACGCCTCCTCAGGATCCAGCCCCTAGAATCCTGTTATTCAGAAGCCTGAATCAAGGAGCATTTTCAGACTACCACATCTAGCCCAAGACCAACCTGGTCAATTGCTTACTAAAACAAAATATATCACAATCTTCCATGGGAGTTTAAAAAGACTCAATATTGTATCATGACATTCAAAATGTTCAGGATATATTCCAATATTATTTGACATATTGTTAGGGTCACCAAAGAAGAAATGCACAAGGACAAAAGTGGCAAGGGATTACAAATTTATTAGATCATTTGGAGACCAGATGAGCTGAACCAAAATGGCATCAGCAGCCAGGGACAGAGAGTCAGAAATTTTAAATGACTCTAGGAGGATTTTTTTTCTATGGAGAATTCTCTCGGCAGGTCCAGATCCTGGGCAAGTCTGGAGGGGAAAGTTACTGTTCTTAGCAAATGGAATGTGGTCTAAGCGAAAGAGAATGTCAGTTGTGAAATGATCTAAAGGTCAGTTTCCAGAGGAGGCAAAATTGATTTGATTATTTGATCAGAGCTAACACATATGAAGGAACATGAAAATCTCAACTCACAAAGGAAAAGACAATCAACAAATGCTGAGAGTACACAGCTGTTGGAATTATCTGACAAAGTCTTTAAAACAGCTACTATAAACATGCTCCAGTAAGGACAAACCATCTAGAAACAAATGGAAAGATAGAAAGTTTAAGCAAATTCATATGTAAATAACAAAATGGAACTCTTTGAACTGAAAAATAAAGTAACCAAAAATGTAAAAACTCTTTGCCCCTAGCTGGTTTGGCTCAGTGGATAGAGCATTGACCTGCAGACCAAAGGTCCTTGGTTTGCATTATACAATGATTGCAGGCTTCTTCCCCCCACCTTTTTTTTTGGGGGGGGGGCGCTCTTAATACCTGTTCTTCCCTTTTTCTATAAGCACAGAACTCCTATTTTTCACTGGGCACACAAGAAGCTAAATTTGGCCATACAAATAGGTTGTAGCCAATGAGATGTGTGAAGAAGAGATGTGTGCAACTTCTAGGTCATGCACCTAAAGGGACTGGGTAAGCTTTCACTCCCCCTTTCCACTGGTTGGAATGCAAGAATGTTGGAGTCAGCTTGGACCATGCAGAGGAAGGTAGGATCCTACAGACAGAGAGGCACAAGTAAAGGAACACAATCCTCTGGAGAGCCTGTGAAGCCAAGCTGTCTGTCCTACCTGCCTCTGGGCCATTAAAAGAGAGAAAGCCTGGCTAGCTTAGCTCAGTGGTTGAGCATTGACCTATGAACCAGGAGGTCACGGTTCCATTCCCAGTCAGGGCAGTCAGAGCACAAGCCTGGGTTAGAGGCTCCATCCCCAGTGTGGGGTGTGCAGGAGGCAGCCGATCAATGATCCTCTCTCATCATTGGTGTTTCTCTCTCCCTCTCCCTTTCTCTTTGAAATCAATACAAATATATTAAAAAAAATAATAATAAGACAGCAGTTTAAGTCACAAGGTCCCTGAGATTGTAAGGAAGGGAATGCAGATGATGGGAAGAGTGACAAAGAACTTTAAAGTCATATTTGAGACACCTGAGGAACACACGCAGGTCCCAGACCCATGGTCGGTAAACTGTGGCTCTTTGGCCCCTTGAGTGTGGCTCTTCTACAAAATACCACAGCCTGGGCAAGTCTGTTTTGAAGAAGTGGTGTTAGAAGAAGTTTAAGTTTAAAAAATGTGGCTTTCGAAAGAAATTTCAATTGTTGTACTGTTGATATTTGGCTCTGTTGACTAATGAGTTTGCCTACCACTGTCCTCGACTGTCACAATGCTCCTTCAAGTCACTATGCTTCCCTCCTATGACATCACAATGCTTCCCACCTGCCACAATGCCTCCTGCGTGTTCTTTCTGCCTCTCCCAGCTCAACACACACAGCTGGTCAACTCTTTCAGACCTTGGCTAAACCTAGCTACCTAAGGAAGCATTTCACTACACTCCAGGCTGAGACAGGCCTCTCTATTCTGTCTCAGAACATAACGACAGGGATCGCTCTCACACAACTTACAAGTTTGAAACTTGACATTTACCTCTGTGGTTATTGGTTGTCTCTCACCAAAGTTTAAGTTCTATGAGATCAGGGACTGAATCTGTCTCCTTCTCTGCTCTTTCCCCAGCACCTAGCACAAAGTAAGGTATGAATCAATGAATCCAGGGTACACAATGACTCCTCCAACGTCGAAAAGCAGAGATCCTTATCTTGAACCATTTGTACGCACATCTGCGCTGCACCCTCACAATCATCCTTTTTTACAGGATGAGTGTGTACTTAGTGTGAACCTGCTGAAAGTCACCTATTCATTTACCGTCGGATCCCCAACTAGTCTTCCCATTCCTGATGCAGAAACTTGATTAAAGAGATGCCGGCTTGGCCGGACGCTAAGAGAAAGGAAGCGGGGCGGGGGCGGGGTAGGTCTAGAGTCCGCACGAGAGCATCCGCAAGGTAGCCACCGCAGGCCTCCGGACTTCCGGTTCCCTGGCGCGGGGACGTGCGCGCCGTGAGTGTACGGGGCGCGCGCGCAGGGCGGGGCGTGCAGGGCGGGGCGCGCGTGCGCAGGCGTCGCGCGAGGGCCGGGGCAGAGCCGCGCAATCGCCAGATCCGCTCTCGGTCCACGCCGTCCATCGCGCTGCCCGCCCGCCCGCCCGCCGCCGCCGCCGCCGCTGCCGCCGCCGCCGCCATGGGAGTGCAGGTGGAGACCATCTCCCCCGGAGACGGTGAGTAGGCGCATCCGACGGTCCTGGGGCCCCCGCTGCCGCGCGCATCCGCTCACCGCGCCCGTCTGTCGTCTGTCTCCTCAGGGCGCACCTTCCCGAAGCGCGGCCAGACCTGTGTGGTGCACTACACGGGTGAGTCGGCGGGCCCGGAGGCGGGGAGGAAGAGGAGGAGAGCCACCGGGAGGGCGGCCTGGGGGCAAAGGCCTGAGGCGTGGCGGCGGCGAGGCCCGCGTGGCCGGAGGCCGAGGCCTGGGCGGTGGCAGCGCCCCCGAGGGGCAGCCTCCGGCCTGTGGAACCCGCGACCGGTTGAGCCGGCGCCGGCCTCGGACCGGGTATTACCTTGCCCTTCACAAGCAGTTCTGTGCCTCAGATGCTGCTCCTATGCCCACTGCACAGATAAGGAAACTGAGGCTGGGGGAAGCGAAGGCTCTCGTCCATGGTTACGCTCAGGAAATTGGCAGAGCCCCGGGCAGGGACCTTCAGAAAGGATTTGGGTCCCGGTGGACACCCTACTTCCCACCCCCACCTCCACCCTCACCCCGCCCGCACCCCGCCCCGTCCGGCCCTCCCTTCTTCGGCGATTAGAAGGGCGAGGCACTTCCCAATCTGCCGAGCGGCCTTTCGCCCCGGGAGGTCGGGCTTCAGCCCCTCTGCCGGGAGGAGAAAAGAACGTCCCAGTTCCTAAGCCATTGCTGTGGCCCGGCCTGGCCGCGGAGAAGCCAGATCCGCACGGCCTTTTGCCTCTTGTTACTTTTGAGACACTTAACACATCCAGGCTTCAGTGGCATGGATGGCCCTGGCTGACAGAACGTGTCATTCAGTCCCGCAGCCCTCCTTGGAGACTCTTCTCATCTCCATTTTAAAGATGAGGAAACGGGCCCGGTTAGGGTAACAAACAGTAACGGAAGCCAGAGGAAATGGTAGACCCTCAGCCAGAATTCACATCCGAGCCCAGCACCTTGAGACCATTTTTTAGTCTATGCCCTTACAAGGTCCTCCTGGGCTGAATTGAGGAGGGGGTGGGGAGACTGCGCAGGCGGAGACTCCCGGTCTGTGGGTGGAGAGGGGGGGTTGGTGTAGCTACAATTGCTGATATGAATCACTTTCCCTCCCCCTCCTCCTTCCCCTTCCTCCCCCTTTCCATCCTTCTCTCTGTTCCTCTTCCTTCCTCTTTTTGTTCTCTCTTTTCTCATCTGCTACTTTGCCTGGGTAGGAGGCTGTAAGCAGTTCTGAGTGGCTCAGACCTGCCTTTCCAAGCTTTACCCTTCTCTCCCAGACCATGGAGGCAGCCCTCTCCTCTGGTGAAGGAAAAAAGGCATTTAACGTCTCCCTTCTTCTCTGGGGGTCGACATGCCAAGGACTAGAACTATTTATTTATTTATTTATTTATTTAAAAGTATTTTATTGATTTTTTACAGAGAGGAAGGGAGAGGGATAGAGAGTTAGAAACATCAATGAGAGAGAATTCTTGATCAGCCATCTCCTGCACACCCCCCACCGGGAATGTGCCCACAACCATGGTACATGTCTTTGACCGGAATCGAACCCTGGACCCTTCAGTCTGCAGGCTGACGCTCTAGCTACTGAGCCAAACGGGTTTCGTCAAGACTAGAACCTTTTAAAAGGCTATGGAAGTGGAGGTATTGAAATCCATCTTTGTAAGGAACAGTCTGACGCCTGTGAAGGAAACTGGAAGGTGGTTTTGACATTTTAAATGACTGTCTTTGTAAGCCACAATCAGCACCTGAACCTAGGGAGGCGTCTGGTGGAGGAAAGCTCGTCAGTGTGGTTATTTGTGATCAGTGGGATGAGAAGAGTAACCATTGCCTTTTACTGTGTGGGGGTGAGTGGGCAGTTCATTCACTTCCCACAGCCAGCTGGGCAGAGATGAGCTCAGGTGATGAGGTGATTTCTGCACCCCTCCCCTCACCCCCAGTTTGTAAGTAGCCACATTCAGATAATTGGCTGCTACATCAGTCCTACCCGTCTGCTGGTGCTGGTGGCAGGACTGGGCACCAATACGTAGGCAGAGCCACATTTCACTGTGCCTCTTGATGAGTTGTCCCCACACAGCATTCCTGGAGCCTTTCTCTAAGAGAACAGATGGTCGTGGGACCTAGAACACCATCAGGGTTCCCAGTGCCTCTTCTCAAAGTCTATGCTTTTCCTTGAGGGTGGCACCCACCCACACGTTCCCAGCACAGCAGCAGGACCCTGGCATGCATTAGGACAAAAGCTTTCTTTTTTTATTTCATTTTTTATAAGCCTTACAAAGGCACCTTAGTGAGAAGTCAGCTCTGTCTCATGCTCACAGAATAGGTGGTTCTCAGGTGGGTGGCTTTGTTCCTGTGGGCCTTTGCCACCAGCTTCCCAGGAAGAACCTGTTTCAGACCTGTGGGGGCGTGAGAGGAATGGGTAAGCACTTTGAGATTTCATCTGTAGTAGTTAAACTTTTATGCCATTGGGAACAGATCCACCTTGTGGGAAAATGATTGGCAGGGAGGGGGGCAGGGAGATTATCATAAAAATTCAAAGGCAGGAAGCTTCCTGGGCCTTAAGAAGGGAGAAGGGTTTCTCATGATACCCCCTAGTTTTCATATCTGCTTTGCTCTGCCTGGCTGCCTTAATAATTTCCTATTACAGATTTCTGTTTTTCTGTTCCCAAGTGGTAGGAGCCCCTTGTGTACCCCCTTCTCCACTGCACCCCAATCCCATATCCAGTTTCTGTGTCTCCTTTTGATTGCCTTCCTCTATACTTCTGGTGGCTATCAGTAGTAGCCTTGATGTCACTCTCAAGGTTTCTTCTGGTGCCTTCTAGCAGAACACAGCATGAGCATGGCCTCAGAGAAAGGCCTGTGGTGCCAGAAGGGAAAATGAAAACTTACCAGCCAAGCACCTCCTAATAGCATGCTATCATGCTATATTGAGGTGGAAGGGAAGAGGTGGAAATGCCACATATGTGCCTTGAGGATCAAGTGGATTCTCGCTCCTCCCTCCTTGCCTCCAGTAGCTTTGTCATCTTGATTGTTGAGTTGTCCTGACACAGAGCTAGGCTTATATTTCTTTTACTCACATCAGCTGCCCACGTGCCTCCCATTGTCAGAGCAACCTCAAGTGGATTGAAGGCATTCTTTTTTTTTATCCTCTTAAATGGTAGTTGACATCATGTCCTTGGGATCAGATTTGTCAGAAGCCTGGCTTCTGACAGAAAAACCAAGGTACCTTCAACCCCATTTCCTCAGGAGGTCCAATTGGAGGGCGACTGAGCTCCCCGGGCAGGTGTGGCCACTTGCCTGCGGGCCCCCTCCAGCGCCTTGCTTTTCTTCAGCCCCCCGTTTCCCTTCTCTCTGTTTAATTCCATCCATTTTCCTGCTGGCTGTTTCTTGGATGATGATCTGATGTCTGGAGGAAGGCACGCCCCTCAGATTGCTTCCCTCTGCTCTCTTCAGGTAGACAGACTATAACTATTGGGTCTGGACTGCAGCAGGGCCTTTCCTTTCTACTGCAGATGTTTAGTGAGCAATAGCAACAAGCCAGGCAATAGGGATGTGGCCAGTGAGGTAATCTGGGGGGCTTACCTGGTGATAAGACTAATAACTTGAAGGTAGTTAGAAGCATTGTGCAGAGATTAAACAGGGTTAGAGAGGGCATGGGGAGCAGACTTGTTTTTAGTGAGGGAGTTCAGAAAAGGCCTCTGACAAAATGACTAATATTTACCCAAAGAAAGTTGGGGAGTGAGTGGCATGACTGTCTAGAGCAGTGGTCGGCAAACTCATTAGTCAATAGAGCCAGATGTCAACAGTACAACGACTGAAATTTCTTTTGAGAGCCAAATTTTTTAAACTTCTTCTAATGCCACTTCTTCAAAATAGACTCACCCAGGCTGTGGTATTTTGTGGAAGAGCCACACTCAAGGGGCCAAAGAGCTGCATGTGGCTCGAGAGCCGTAGTTTGCCAACCATGGGTCTAGAGTAGGGGTGTCGAACCCAATCAGAGAAGGGGCCAAAATCTAAAATCCAGCCTAAATCGTGGGCCGAATGGTTTACTGAACAGTCATAAACTGTCATTGTGATGGAAACACAGCGGAGTGCAGTGATGACAGCGCGGTGCGGGCCACATTGCAAGGCTCTAGAGCACATGTGTCAAACACAAGGCCCGCGGGCCAAATCCGTCCCGCCAGGCCTTGCAATGTGGCCCGCACCTCGCTGTCATCACTGCACTCCGCTGCGTTTCCATCACAGTGACAGTTTATGACTGTTCAGTAAACCATTCGGCCCGCGATTTAGGCTGGATTTTAGATTTTGGCCCCTTCTCTGATTGAGTTTGACACCCCTACTCTAGAGGAATACTCAGGCAGAGGGAAGACCTAGTACAGAGATCTTGAGGCTTTGTGTATATCAGGGGAACAGCAAGGCGACCAGTATGGCTGGAATAGATTGTGTAAGGAGGTGGATTGATAGAAGATGAAGTGATGATGGAGCCTGGTAGGTTGTTATAGGAACATTAGAGGCTTGGTGCAGGAATTCGTGCACAGGTGGGGATCCCTCAGCCTGGCCAGATGGGTTCCGATTGGGGCAGACTTGGAGAGACCACTGGAGGTTGGCCTGCTGTGGGAGATTGGCTGTGGGAACACACTGACAACCAGGGAGCAGCTCCTGTGTCGAGTGTCTGCCCCCTAGTGGTCAAT